GCGCATCGATTAATAATAATTTATTTTATATCGAACATGAATCTCGTTTGTAGACTCGATTCCAGAATGGTCAGAATTTAAGCTACTCAAGAGGGAACGTCGTCGTCTATCGCGGCGCTAGATTCTCGTTCTTGTAAACCAACTTTATGCAAATTTCTGTTGACATTTGAGCCCTTCGCGATAAAATGTTGCGCGATGACCCAGATTTATTTATTGACTTCTGATCATCAACACGCTGTTTGTGGAACAAACTTCTCGCCAATGCAAATCAACTTCTTTGCCGAAAATATCAGCGAGGATTCTTCTTTGAGGAAGTGACTTTCGATCACGTGCCAGGCTAGGAAAAAGATCAAGTTTCACCGATGTTCATTTCGGAACATCAACGTAAAACAAGCGTGTGCAGATTTTGTAAAATAACCCAATTTTTTTGTTTTTTTTTCGTAATTTCTAAAGTTTGCTGAACTGTATGTGTATTCCATTTCCTGAACCTTGGGAGTTTGAAAAGGATTTACACTTCACTTTTTACCTCAAGAGACTTCAGACACCGCCATGCAATGATACTCAAGGTAGAACGTAACACGAAAACGCGAAAACCGCGGAAAGGAACTCTACAACGTGCGAATGCATTTTTCACCAATTTGCTGTCAAAAATGTGAACGTCAATGTAATAATAACGATCTATTGCCAGCATAATTGGATATTCCTTAGGCAAAAAAAAATTATTAGTATTCATTATTTGACCGGCCAGAATCGGGTTTGTCCGGGCTAAAAAATATTTGGCCTGTCATCATGACCGGCAACCTGCTGTCCGTTATTTGCAGCCCTGAGATTTGTTAAAAGATAAAAGCATAAAAGCCATTGGCGGGGAAACGAACTTGCCAGTTAAGACGAGAGCCAAAATTGATAGGAAAGTGGCTATGCTTGCAGATGTGAACTGAAAGCCTTCTATGAGAGATAATAAAACGCTTCTTTTCCCAGTTATCCAAACTTCATTTCTAATAGGGAAAAGAGAAGGAAATATTAATTTTTAGTTACAACTTTGTGAAAATTGTGGTAAACCGTTGTGATAGGTGAAGCATGATCGTCCGGGTGATCGAAATAGGACTGTTGTTGACAGTGACGGACGTTTTCGTGCGTAGTCGTCAAATCCTTCTTTCTAGCAATCGGCTGGAGCTATCTCCATGATCTTTCACACACGTTTTTGAAAAGATTGAAACTACTATAAGCTTAAATTGCATGTCAAAAGCGCTTCGATTTCTACAGATAACAGCTGAATATCAAGATTGTTCATTTTTTACCGTATTTTTAACCATAAAAACTTTATCACAAGATATCTCGATAAAGCTCTTACAGATTGCGCTTAAACCTCACTCACATCGAGGCGGCTATTGGAGGAAAAAGCTACCGTGAACGATTTTGGAAGAACAGTTCTCAGTACCGAGAAATGACTGCTGCAAGTAAAATAGGTAATAGCGTCATTTCGTTGCTATGACAACTCCGATGTCATTGCAACCCTGATCATTACAAATTTTCATCTTTATCTAATACAACTGTGATGGCAATTTTTCCAAATCTTTGTTTATGGCGACGTGGTTTATGTTCAAACTTGGTAGGTACTGACCCTGAAAAACTGTATCGAGCCACCTTAATCCGGTAGTCATGGGGTTTTTTGTTTCTCCTGGCCCTTTATAGTAAAGTTTTGTGTTCTTCTGCTTCATTAGCACAGTGTGTCACAATAAGGTGGCGATAGCGGATTTGGTCAGAAGAAATCCAGGAATCATTTTCAATTTTCTCACGACCTTTTCTGGACATGAGAAAGTTTTCAGATGTTGAAAAACAAACAATCTTTGCTTGGACCAAGTGACCCGAGGAGCTTTAGCAACGACGACGGCGATGGCAGCGAGGACGTCAAAAAAGCAATAGGTTTATTGGGCAAAACAACAACTGTACACGTGCATCACGCTATTTTGTACATTTCTTTCATTAACGTGCGTCCTTGCACGACTACGACGTGAAAATGCCTAATTGCAAGCTTTATGGAGGACGTAAAGAAGGGACGACGAATTTCTTTTTCTCTCTCTAAAGTTGAGTGCGCTCCTCAAGAAATTAACTCCAGGGAAATTCGCCTACCGTATTTATTCGATTAACCGCCCTGGGCGCTTATTAAATTTTTGGACCTTGAGAGTGGGCGCTTATTCGAGGTGGGCGCTTATTCGAGGCTGGGCGCTTATTAAATTTTCATCATTTTCAGCAAGTGAAGTATGTTTATTTTGCAACAAAACAATAAATGTTAATAACAAAACGCGAGGAAGTAACAAAGCAAGGTTTCTGTAAAATACTCTGAAGAAAACTCCGTCCTCGGGAAAGTCTCTTATTAAAGTTTATTCACTCAAGTGGGTGGGGTGGTGGTGAGCGCTTATTTGAGTTTGATTGGGAGGAGGAGGAGGGGGTGGGCGCTTATTCGAGGCTGGGCGCTTATTAACTTTTTCAGCCTTTAGGACGGGCGCTTATTCGAGGTGGGCGCTAATTCGAGGTTGGGCGCTTATTCGAATAAATACGGTACACTTGCCATTTTCAGCAAATTAGAATAAACGCGACAAAGTTTGAAAAAACGGGAATTCATTTTAAATTTGACGTTTTCGCTGTCGTTGCCGTCGTCGATGCTAAAGCTGAGGCCTGGGGCTAGGCAAGAACCAATAGGCCATTCTCTTAGGTCTAATGATAAACCTTCATTCTAGCGCGGTACGCTGTTACTATTTTCATTTTGAGTGCTATTGACCACTCCTGTTTAGCTGAAATTCCCTGGCTGAAATTTGGGGGTTCTCTCGCAGAGTTTCCCAGAATTTTCTGTAATACATCTAACCAATAAGGCACAAGCTACTATTTGATGGATCGCTATCCGTGGATGCTAACAACCAATCATACCTCTCAGTATATCGTAAATTATCACATGACAGCAGTATGATGGCCGACGAATGTTAGCAGTCACTGATCTTTTTATAGCACTACTCCCGAATCATGGTACATACAGTTTCCTTTGTTTTCATTTGAAGGCGTTCAATTCACGGATTGCCTACTGCTGTGTGGAATTTAATTTATGCTGGTGATTTTTTGTTCGCATTTTGTTTTTTCCTCAGGAGTCATCGGGCGAGAAGAAGGAGTATTTGTTCAAAGTTCTAGTCATTGGTGATCTTGGTGTTGGAAAGACTAGTATTATAAAACGTTATGTACATCAGTTCTTCTCTGTACACTACAGAGCTACTATATCCTTTGCTAGATTTAAATCAACCGGAAAATTTGCCGAGCACATCTTATTTAATCATTCGCCTACGTATGTCACGCACTTACAGGATACCTCATATTGGTGTGACACACTGACATACGTCATGAAAGTAACAATAGTTATTTCTGATGAAAGATATGGTTTTGTTTGTCTGTTATGTAAATTTTACACAGAGAATGTGTCTGTCTGCCTTTTGTTTTTGTTTGTTTTTGTCAGTGTCTTTTGACATTGTGAAATACTCTCCATTGCTTTATTTCTTGTTTACATTTTTCTTAACTTTACATACATTGGAGTGGACTTCGCATTAAAGGTTATAAACTGGGATCCAGATACATTGATCCGTTTACAGCTATGGGATATTGCAGGTAACATGTACTGTATTGCTGAAAATATTTTGTATCTGATGTCACGGAAGCGATGTTGGTTGACTAGAACAAACATGTTTCTCTCCACAAGGATCTATAATCTTTTTCACGCAAATTCTGGGTGCATTCCTTGGGGGTGATCTGGTTAAGGATCAGTTATCTAAGATCACTTGAATGGTATCATGTCAAAGTCTTTGCCCAGAGGATGATAGTGTGGCAAAGTCTTTGCCCAGAGCACTGTGGATTCACGATCAGTTCCTTTGATGCATTATGGTCCAATACAAGTATTCTCACTGATCCTGATCTGGATCAACCCAAAGGAAATGTGTTGTATTGTTAACCGATATGGTCACCTTGTCAATAATTTAATTCAATAAAAACTGTTTAAAAAAAATAAAAGAATGGCTGTAGCCAGAAACACCATTAAGAGATCGTAGAGAGGAGAAGTGTGACATCACTTTAACATCATGGCAGCAAAATTTCTGGATCACAACAACGGGGAACTTAAGCAACAACGATAGCAACAGCAATGAGAATGTCAAAAAAGCAGTAGGTTTGATAAGCAAAACAACAACTTTGCTCGTGAACAGGCTTTTTATACATTTCTTAGCTGTTGTTGCACGACTGTGACATGAATCTCCCTAATTTCATGCGCCCGCTTTATGGAGTAGGTGAATACAGCGCAAAAATTTTCTCTTCTTAACTTAGATACAGTCCTGTAAGATTCAACCCAAGAAAATTTCTGCACCATTTGACAAAGTGAAAGAAATATTATTGAATAAGATCAATGAAATTTGAAACAGTGCAAATTCACTTTTTAAGCAACGTTTTCAGTTTCTTGTCATCCAGACATTTTGCCATGGCAACATTCGCCTCTCTGTTCGGGGCTGTCATTGAGATTTCAAGCTGCCAGGTAAATACAACAAGTAGGTGGTGAATTAAGGAGCTAGGGATTTCTTTTGGTTCTATTTTTCTTCTAATTTCCTGTGGAAGTAGCGAGGGGTTATATTCATGGAAGCCAAAGGAAGTCCCCAACACCCGGCCCTTAATGACAGCCCTGCTATTACAATTGATATAGAAGAATGCTTTCCTAATACTACTGGGGTGAGATTGTAAGAGACAACCACTGAATTATAAATATGAATAAGTATACAAAACAGAACATTTTCGTAACCGTTTCGCAACCACTAAATGCTTTGGTAGCTTTTAAAGGTCATTTTACAGACCAAACTGACAGATTTTCCTACCCTTTGTTTACTTCATCTAGAGAATTCCCTACCCTTTCATATACTGAAGTCTGAAAAAGGTGGGTGGAGCCTCCCTGTGTAGGACATTATAGGGAGTGCCCCCCCCTGCCTCCCCCCAGACAAACAATGGAGTGATGAAAGTTCATATTAAGGACAATATTTTAATTAATGTGGTCAGCTATAATTCGATCCAGTCTTTGAGTAGTGAATTAGTAATATTAGCGAGCCCATGACTAGAAAGGCAAAAACATGATTGAGCCCTGTTGTTGGGGTCAAAATTAATATTACTATTTTTTTTTTCTCTCTGACAGGTCAAGAACGATTTGGTAACATGACACGGGTAGGTCTTTTCGTCCTTCATCACATTTATGCAGCTCGAGTGATGTATATGTTGTGGTTCAATGGGCTCTTTCCAGCTAGTCATTCACATGGTACAAAACCGCCATGCTAGAGAGCAAAAGTCGCACTAGGACAAGACAAACAAAAGAAATTACCATTTAAATTTATGTATGTCTTTTGTTTGTCTTGTTCCAGTGCGGCTTTTGCTCTCCAGCGTGGCGGTTTTGACAGCTAGCTGCAAAGGGCCTATTCTATCCTGGTTTGAATTTTACTTTTTTTTGTTTTAAACTCATTATCATACATTACCATACCCAAAAAGAAAGGAAAATAAAATTAAACTAAGGATAAAAAGTATTGAACCACAATAAACAGATACATACACTGTTGTAAGATAAAATGTAATTTGCGAAATTTTAGACATTTTTACTAACAAGAAAATATTTTTAAAGTGAAGAGAAGATCATCCAAGTCAAAGTAGCAAGTTGTGCAGTTGTGAAATCATGAAAGCCTGCAAAAATTCAGGCTTGCCAGAATTCGAACCGTGATGACCTCTGCAATACCGGTGCAGCACTCTAACCAACTGAGCTATTTTCGTGAGCATTTTCTAATATACCCACACTGTTATGGTCCATATAAGCCATGTTATGATCTGTTCAAACCGTATGGATTGCAAAACTTACATATGGTCCATAAAAACCTGGTTATGATCCACAAACTGCATCTTATTTCTGGGACTTAGGATATTTTCATACCTTGTTTGTGGATCTGTACAGATCGTACAGGTTGCACACTGTGCCCTAAATAATGTAATAATATTATGAGATGCATGCTTCTTATGTACTCAGAAACTGTGCTATTCTTCATATGTTTTTTGATTTTAATGTATTAGCGAAAACATGTAGGAACCATAATTTTAAGATAAGACCTAAGAAGACACGTACAAATTACTTTAAATTTTCATTTTTCAATCGCTACATAACAGACTGGAATGGTATTCCATCGAACATTATGCACGCACCTTCATTAAGCAGTTTTAAGTGCTATCTATCGGATCATTTGTGTCAATTTTAAATCAAATGTGTAACTCATGAGTGACAAGTATGCAATTTAATTAGGTTAGTTTTGGGCCGTATTTAAGAGTGTGTCCATGAGAAGACTAGGCAGAACCAGGCAGGGGGTGATAATGCTCAAATCACCGATTTCGCTCAAACTCGGCACAAATGTTAGGTATCAGGAGTTAACTTATGTGACAGAATGTCAGGTCAAAATATTAAATTCCCTGGGAGATCCGGGCTCCCCTTGTAAAAATCGCCATTTTGCCCGCTTTATGCATAATTAATTAGCTATCTTTACGATGCCAGTGCAACAAACAGAAAAGCCACCCTGAACTTAAATGCACTGAGAGATAATCTGAGTTCATAAGACTTTAAGCACGTTAAACTGTTTAAAGTCGCCGATTCAATTTCCTCCCTCTTAGCCCCCTTAGGTTGGGTCATCATTTTCAAGTTTTGAGTAAGTCGTAAAATTAGGGTATTTTATTCCCAAATATCTCTGATGAGCAACAGCTTATCTTAATAACTTTTACATGAGTAGTTAAAGCCATCACTTAAGTTAAGAAAAAGATCATAAAAAGTTTGGGCAATTCACTTTCTTCCATGTGTTGACATAAACTGTTCATGTGACTGAACGACTTTTGCATATTTTATCAAAATTTAGGCCCTCACAATATTCGTGTGTTTGCCTTTGAATGAGGAGAAATCGAAAAAAAAAACTCATCAGACAATGATTTAACATTAATAAGGGTAGAATGGTTGAAATTGTTGTGCAAGAAACTCTAACGATGAATTTTGATAGCTATATACGCGATCTTTTCAAGTAAAAACAACATACAAAGATTTAATTCACAGTTTTACTTACTTTAACAATTTCGCCCTAAAAACAATATAAACGGTCAATGAAATCCATATACGTATCTCTTAGATGTCTCAACTGCTAGTTTGTGCACGCTTTGATTTGTTCCCCATGCCACCTTCGATGTCCAGTTAAGCGTAGTTCAGCGTCGTGACTCGCTGTACGACTAAAATTCCTTAGCCATCAGTTTACGCACCAAAATCCAAATCAAGTTGTTTATGGAGAAAACAATACGAAAAGTAGAAAGCCGATTTTTAACCCATTGAAAGAATTATTTCTGCCACTGTTGTAGCTCAATTCACATGTTACAAACCCGGGTTACAAACGTCCGCCATCTTTGACATTAACTGGAGCCCGCATTTTTAAGCAGCGGTTGCCACCATACGGAAACATCGTATCGGGAGTCAGGAGCCAGGAGCCAGGAGCCAGGAGCGAGAGTCCAGTGAACAAAATTCAGTCGAAAATATGACTTTCCGACATTCTTTGAGATTATTTTATTGTTATTATATGTTGATAAATAATTCAGAATTCCAAATCTATTGGCAACTTTATTCAGACCATGATTATAAATGATCCCATGTCTTCTCAAACTCGAAGATAGAAGTCGCTTTGTCTTCGTGTTTTGGAAAGAACTATTTTTTAGTTGCACATGAAATAGCAGCGAAGTTAAGCCGGATGTTGGTGCAGACCAGTTCAAAGAGACAAATAAAGCGTGAGACACGTCCAGATTGGCTTACGACAAGAATTCCATTTTTTTTTTCATACTGGAGTCCCTTCTCCCCGGGCGAGTGGCCAAATTGCGTACAAATGCCTACTCTGCTGGCACCAGATTTGACTGTTTTTTATCTAGCACGGTCTTTTGGGGGTCTTATAAAGCCTAACTGTGGCAGTAATGTTCCCAAGTAGAATTCAAAATACACCACACTTTCACATTGAGTTAGATATTTTTCTCAAACAACCGCTTCCATATGTTTAACACCCTTCCCAAATTGTAATACAGTGGAAGCTCTCGTAAGAGGACACCCTCGGGACGAGAAAAAAGTGTCCTTAACTGGATCTGGCCGCTTACAAGAATGAATCTCATACGGTAACTCTGAAACGGATATATAAGAATGATTCATAACAGTGACAAACAGCGATATGACTGTGGACATGATATGAAAAAAACAACAACAACAACATTCAGAGGCGGGTAAGATTTTCTTTCGAGTGTCTGCTTACGAGAGCTTTAAATCAAAGCTAACATCTGATTCGCCGGTAAACCCTTTAAGTGTCCGCGGCCGCCTACGGGAATGTAAAAATCCAGAGTTTGAGTGGGAGTTGAAACGGGATTTTGTGGTGGCGGTCGTAATTAGAACTATTCGCTATATACGAGTGTCCGTTAAGAGAACTTAATCTACTGTATGAATCCGCAAATGACAGCTTAATTGAGAAGTGAATATAGTGTATTAGTCTGTGTTCAAGAAACTGTTCTTTAACACCTTCCTTGAATAGCTAAAGAAGTCTTGTCGACTTTTTTTGCAGTGTATTAGTGCCTCCTTTTGGGTCTTTTGTATTCCTCAGAAGTTTTTCCTCAACACTTTTATAAACGGTTATTATTATATTTTTGTAGTCAATAATATACCCAGATACAGATACCAACCTGTATAGTTGTAAGACTACGAGGATTAAAATACAAGTAAGTAAGTCAGTATACCCAGTGGCTAGTCATTAATTGTCTAAAAATTGCACGGCACGGTCTGACTACAAAAAGGGCTATTATGAACGATTATTATCATGGTAATTAATGTCAACACCGAATAAACTCAAAATTTTAAGTAACACGACTTTCACAACCTATTTTCAACACACCAGTTATAACAGGATATTGGCGCGTACAAACAATAGATAGCGTATTCCGCATTCCGGAGTCCGGTAGTCCGGCGTCGCAGATTCCATCGTTTAGGCAGAGTCCAAAGTCAAAGATGGTGGGTGTTCGAGCAGGTGGTTGTTTTCCGTAGATATAGACGGATTGTCAGTGATCCTTCTTGTCCTGTGAGAATGATCTTGTTCATTCTGACTACAACTTATTTCAAAGACTTCGAATGTTCGGTGAAAAGCCGACACTGTTTCAAGATGTTTCGATTCCATTACCCCGTCACGAAGTAACGCCACAGAGGACCGCACGAAACTGGAGCAGCAAATCTGGACTAAAACATCTGAGAGACGTGTATGTAACATTTATTCACTATCTTTCATCCTTGTTGGGTCTTGTTTCACCTACAAGTTGGACCGATCGAAGTTTTGAACTAAATCTTTTGCTCCTTGTGTTTGCTCAAGCGTTCCATAAAATATCCATCCAAACGTCCATAAAAAAAAACAGAAAACATGCCTCAGGTGACTCTTTCTAACAATTCCGCTATTAGTATCGATAATGAGGCATCTGACTTGTGACTTCTCGCCAACTTTGTGCTATTTTTGTTTAAAAAAACGAAAGTTACGTTTCTTCGTATTTTGGTCAAATGACAAATAAGGGTCAAGTCAGATGTACATAATACGTCATTATTGATAAAGTATGAGATTGCCCAAATATTTTATGATTGATTTGATAACCTTAAAGATGTCTTTCAAAGAATATGTGAGAATTAAGTACATAGGTTGTTGCTCATGGGAGATGTTAGCCACTAAAATACCTTAAATTTAGGGTTTCGTCAAAACAGTGAGAATATGTCTTTACTTTAGGCTAAATAATAGCAAGAGATGGAATTAGAGAGTAAAAATAAATTACTGAGCATTAAGTCTGATAAACATAGAAGACGATAAAGTTGATTAGATTTGAAGTTGTCTTTTCTTCTTGTTGAACAGCCAAACCAAAGTTAGCTAATTAATTATGCAAAAATGAGTAGATTTTTGTCGTTTTTAGGGGGGGTCCCTGTAAATCCCAGGGAATTCAGTATTGCGACCTTATTTTTTGTCGAGGTTAATAACTCACCGCACCCATCAATTGTGCCAAGTTTGAGCGAAATCCGTGATTTGAGCATTATCACCCCCTGCCTGGTTCTCTCATGGACACACTCTTAAATTTTGCTTCTTAATTTTAGTGTCAATTTTAGCGTGCAATTTAATTAGGTTAGTTTTGGGCTGCATTTAACTTTTACTTCTTATTTTTTAGTATGTTTAATATTGGAGAATATTCTTTGTATGGGAATTTAGTTTCCCCCAATTATTCTCCAGTCATGCACTTTTTGTATTTTCTGTAGTATTAGTTATTTACTTGTATTAGCACAACAAAGTATTATTAAATTTAAACGTAAACTATTAGCAATGCTGACAGCTTGTACTGAACGTACAATTGGTCAAATGCTCTTAACGGTCCATAACAATGCAGCAGTATTGGACTGATGACTGTTTCTGTCCTGCTCTTTCTTTTGTGTAACATGACAAATGATTTTGGAAAAGTGTCCCATTAATTGTTGAGGAAAATAAAAAATATTGTTGTCGAAGAGTAATATCTAACATGTCTGTTGTCTTTTTAATGGATTTGTTGTGGTTCAATTTTATCCTTGGTTTAAATTTTGTTTTCTTTTGTTTAAAAATCATCATCATTCATTACCATATGCAAAAACAAAACAAAAGAAATTTAAGCCAAGGATGAAACTGAACTACTACAGATTCATGATGCAGCTATAATCCATAATATGACCCTTTCCTGACACATTTGGGTGTTTTGTTCTATACACAGAATGTTAAGTGACCGTGCTTTAATACATGTAATTCTTGCTTTTGGTTTGTAAGCCTTTTGTTTCATTCAAAAAATGATTTTCATTAATAAAATGCAGGTTCATAGTCCAAAAGCTCAAAAGTTTATCTGATTTAATTTGCATGCTTATAGGTGAAAAATAAAAAGAGTTGTTAAAAAGAGATTCTTCCTATTATAGTTGATGATCGATGGGCTGGCACAATCTAATAATTTTTGATGATCGATTATGAGATCTCAGGTGATCCTCAACACTACTATTTACAAGTATAACTGTAGAGTTGAACTTTGGACGAGGCAGAACAAACCAGGCTGGGTCTGAATGTGACCTCTATAATACATGTCTGACGAACTGACTCCTTGCCCATCCTGTCTCCCCAACCCACGTGTCATGGCACAGTATCAGATCTTGGCTCATATTAATTTTTTCATGGTAAACATTCTCAGGTTTATTACAAGGAAGCAGTTGGAGCTTTCATCGTGTTTGATGTCACCAGAGCCTCCACATTTGAAGCGGTACAAAAATGGAAAAATGATTTGGACAATAAAGTTATGCTACCCAATGGAGTTCCTATTCCAGTTGTACTCTTAGCAAATAAGGTTTGTCTTCAGATTGTATTTTTGGTTGTTAATAGGAAATCTACAATCACATGACTTTTGTCGGGCATATACTTACCGAGTAGCATCATTTGTGCCCAAGTGGAGCGAGGGTGCAACTGATGCTACAAGGGACACAAAAAAACTAGTTCCCCGACAAAAGTCATGTGATTATATTATCATTATTATCAATACACAAGGCCAAATCATACGGGGTGTTTTAGAGAGGGCAGTTTGTTATTTGGCCGCGTGTAGTGATAATAATAGTTATTAACAATGGTGTTGCTTAGTAGAGATGGGTGCCTGCAATGTCGAGGGGCTTCCACTTTGGGCAAAGCCAGCCCATAGGCAGAGTTATGCCCCCATGGCTGATAAACCTATGCCCTTCAGCCATTGGCCCCCACGTCAATGGAACCAGGCACCTGTCACACTGATTTATCAGTGGAAAATAAAGTGGGGGGGAGAGATGGGGTAAAAGCACGATCCAAAGGCTAAACAAAGAAAACGGCTGCCAGGAAACACCGTACTAAGCACATTGAGTTGATGCAAGCAAGGTTGACTGCACTTGAGCCACTGCATTGACTGCTGACATTGAAAACACATGATGGTGCTCCTTGTTGTTACCTTTGTTAAATTTCATCTAACTTCATAAGTTATTAATGGTAGAATAGTTTATGCTTAACTGTGACAGAGGAACCAATTAAAAACCAGTTTGGAGTATTGAAAAGGAGGGCCATGTTGCCATTGGTATTTTACTATTGTATCTGCAATTTACTTGTCGCTGTTGCAGTTTTAGCCCATCATATATCATATATCATACTGTTCCTTGCTACTGGTACATATTTTATGTTAGTAAAATCCAACTAGTGGTCTATTATCAATGCTGCGTTCTGATTGGTTGAGCTACTACTAGGCTAGTTATAGCCCACTAGTAGCAAAAAGCACGGGCTTTTTGGCGGCGAAAAAGGAGTAAAGTCTTGCTTTAACTAGCTAAAATTTCTTTATTCTCGATATTTTTGACCAACTAGTTGGATTTTACTTTTTACCTTCGGCCTCATAGGCTATTGACTCAGAGCCCATTCAGGCTCGAGGAATAATTGTTAATTATCTTATCTGGTACATTATAAACTACATGTACAATACAGTTTGATAATTAAAGAGCTAAATTGTAATTATTTTAAAAAATCCGTAAGTTATTAAGTAATTTCCAATATGTTAATAAATTAAAAAGTTAAGTCATCTTTAAAATGAGGCGATTTAAATAGGAATTCTTGACCTGATCCAGGCCTCTTTAACCAGTTTTTTTTTTGTGTCTGTTAGTGTGACCAAGCAAAGGAAGGTTTAGTAAATAATGCAACCCAGATGGATGAGTACTGTAATGACAGGGGATTTCTCAAATGGTTTGAGACATCAGCTAAAGAAGATATCAACATAAATGAAGCAGCAAAATATCTTGTCTCAAAGGTGGGTTCTAAGACAAACTGACTGTCAATGATATAAAATTTTGTTTTTCTTCCAGCGAAATTGGTCTCCATTGTTTATTATTTCTTGCACTACCTCCTTCTCCATTTTTTTTTTTTACATGAATGCACTAGACATTTAGCCTGTGAAAACAGGCAGGTACAAAAGTTGGACTGGATCAACTCGGACCGCCAGTCCAGGTCGGATCAACTCGGATCGACTCGGACCAACTCGGATCTAATAAAAGAATAAAAATAAAATAAAACTGGACTCAGATCAACTCGGAGCAATCAAAAAATTAAATTAAATCAGGAAAACTGAAAGTTTAACCCATTTGGAGGGTAAAAAAGGCCAGATCATCCTTTTTTCCTCCGTAGCTACTAGTGCCAGTTCCTCTCAGATCATGTTATAAACTCGTGGTTGTGGTTCGACAGTAAAGAAATGATAGTTTCAGTCGCCTAGAATGTATATATTTGCTTATTTATTAGACTACTGAATTATTTATGAGAAAAGCATCAAAAGCCTGGTCTGTTGATCGCATTTAGATAGTTACCGAAGAGTGTTTGTTTGTTTGTTCCTGTTTGTTTTTTTTCTGCAGGACTTCTGAAACTTAATTTTAATGATACACTAGTGAGCAGCACACATACATTTCCAGTGAACATTTTCAACTTGGAAAGAGGAGAAACCATGCTCGCCCGGGACAAAGGAAATTTGCATGCCTCGGGAAAGAATGGAACTCGCGACCCTCCGGTTCAGTGGTTGGAACGTTCGATAAACATGTAGTATTCGGAGGGTCGTGAGTTCAATTCTCGCCTGGAGTACGAAAATTTTCGTTGTCCCGGGCGAGCATGATTTCTCCTCCTTCCAAGTTGAAAATGTTCACTGGAAGTGTATGTGTGCTGCTCACTAGTGTATCATTAAAATTAATAAAAATAAAAATAAAATTAATTTACGCAACCACAAGTTTGTGAGAAAAAAAAATGGCGGGTGAAAGTTAAGTGATACTGACTGATTTTATTTTTCTTTTTATAATCCGAGTTGTTTATTTTTTATGATCCGAGTTGATCCAAGTCCAATTTTGTTTTATTTTTATTTTTTTATTCGATCCAAGTTGGTCCGAGTCGATCCGAGTTGATCCGACCCGGACTGGCGGTCCGAGCTGATCCAGTCCGACTTTTGTACTTGCCTCTGTGAAAACATCTGTTTCTCCACGCTCTTCGCCACTGGGACGTTTCGCACGAAAGGGATGTTTTCGCAGGCTACTAGACATTAAAATTTACTCAAAAGAAAGACTCACCCCGAAATGCGTGGGGTGCTTGAAATGCAAATTTTCACCCAATCTTCGGACGTGTGTACGTACGTAAATACGGACGATTTTGTCCGAACCAAAATTTCTTGGATGTATAGATAACCATTCTTACCCATGGTGCTCTGCTGAGTGCAGGTGATCGTGCCGACAAGAGCTCCCTCCATAGTTTTGCAGTATTTCAACTGCATGTGGTATTTGCAGTTGTAATAATTCACCTAAACAAGACTCTTTGAAAATCTCAGCAAGAAGGACTAGGCTTTTACCATAGCAAGAATAAATTCCCACAAATTAAAACATTGCTGATCTGCAAAATTGAAATCCTTTTGTGCCATGTCATAGACAAATTTTTGATATAGCTCAAGGTCATTTCTTTTTTTTTTTAACAGTGTACAGTGTGTACAATGAAATTGATTCAATCAATGCAAACTGATTTGTGCTGTTTTCTTTCTTCGTTTCTTTCACAGATTCTAGAGAATGAAAAGGCAAATAGTTTTGGTACCAGTGACAGTAAGGAGCCGTCAATAAAATTAACAGATAGTGCATCTTTAGCAACAAGTGAATATAGAAACCTCCCATCTGGAGAAGCACCCAAAAGTGGATGCTGTTGATAGCAATGAATTACTGAATAGACAGGATGTACTCAATCAATCAAGAACTTTTGCTCAGAAGTTAACAAATTAATCTGCCCTTTGGCTTCTTCTCTATTTTCTTGATGCAAATTAATGTACAGATGGTTTTCTTTTACACATAAGTTTTTAGGTCTTGGCCTTTTTAAGTCCATAGGTAAGATTGTGTGCAGCGATTACCAGCATAGTGCATGCAATATGTGTACATTTTCAAGTCATAGCAACACATCTGGCTGTTACAGTCAATGCCACATTGTCCCTCCTCACCTGTAGTGGTGTTTCACAGGAGAGACATCTGTGCCTCAGCAACAGAAATTCCATACTGATGGCATAACTAAGCAATATATTTTACATAATTAATCCGGTAGTCATAGTATTCCACTATGAAAATTTGTTCAAATCAAAACTCAATTGCCTCTTCTAAAGAATATATTCCATGAAATTATTGCCTGTTTCATTGTAAATTCATCACGATTACATTTGACTTTTGTCTCTCATTATTTTGTAAACAATAGCTGAAACAATGTAACAGTTACTTCGACCAATCAGAGGTCCTGATCAGATTCCGGACAGATTTTATGTCATCCGTATGGAATTTTGGTGCTGAGGCACAGACGTCTTTCTTGTGAAACGTTCTTAGTGGGAGAGACAACTGTATTCGTAGGCTACACATTGTAAAACTGTATTAAAAGAAATCATATAATTTAATTGAAAGAGTGCTTGGAATAAGACCTTGTAAATTAAGCTAAGTGACTGCTGATTTAGTACCAAATTTCCCCTCGATTTACAAGCATTACACAAAGCAAACTGTATCAAAAACATCTTTTAAATATATATAGTTTTAGAAAACCTGCTGATGTAGATTTTTCTGTATAAATGGGAGGAGTCAAGTGGAAGGGTATTGCTTTTGGTGTAATTTTGATAAGTATCAAAAAGAAACTCGTGTAACTTGTTTAGTCTTGTGTACCTGTGAATTTTCCACCCCCATCTTTACATTAGGCATAAAAAAAATCCCACCCCCATCTCAGACTGTGAATTCAGCACACCACTTGTCAGTTTCCTGTAGAATCTGTTTTCTTACTTTTATACCCAACTCTAGACTAAACTGCTTGAAATCCCTGCCACTCATGGGTGGACATACCTATCCCCTATAGGGCAGGACCCTACTCCCCCAAGATCAAATGTCAATGGCTGCTTACTCACACTCCTTAAGATACAACTTAGAATAAGTTTCTTAAAGAGAATGGGCCCTGGTATGATATTTTTCATAAATTTATTTTGAGTTCTAAACTTCAAATTCTTATGGGAAGTCTTCCACCTGATTTCTTGTTTTAATTGTGTGTTCCAAAAGATACCAAGTAATAGATTAATAATTTTTTTTATCTCTTAGCACACCATTTCCATTGCATTAATTTTCTTTACAATTCTCACAGGCAAATCCAGGAATTTTTGTCAAGTAGGGTACAACTTGGGCTTACTTTTGAAGCCAATAATTTCCACCTCCTTCACACTGTTACACATTCAGTTCCTTAGGCTGCACTGCTGGGAGTTTTTTTGAGAGGGGCAATGAAGGGGAGCATGAGCAAGAGGGGAAGCCATGACTAGAAGAATGCGGCAGAAACAACATTATAATTTTATTTGTCTTACAGCTTCACCTCTCGTTCATGCATGCCTTTGCCACTTTGGCACTCATTTCATTACTCGCCAAGTGAACCTGTCAGCTATACAGACTGTAGGTTATACTACGTGGGCCCTAACTTTCATGATACATCCAGGAGATGTGACATGTCCCTTGTAAAGGACGGCTTTGAAACATTTTTTCTCTAGAGTTTAAGTGATAAAATAATTTTGTCCAGATTTTGTCATTTTCAACAAGCCAAATGGTTGAAAAGAAAAAGATCTGTCCCATTTATTTAATAAGCTACAGGGTAAAACTTGTCAGTGCTGTGTGTCAGGACACAGTAAAGCAAAAGTATGTCATGCATCACCATGAATTCACCCAGCCTATGCACTGAGTGCTGAAAATATGAACTGAGGTCAAACCTTCTAAATATTAAAACCAAAAAGACAATGCCCAAGTGTCCATTTTACAGAGGTGTCTCCATTGTACAAGAAGAGGTGTTAGACAATTTGCATCTTTGAGACTAAATGGACAGACTTTTGATAAAGTCCTTCATGTGAATTTGTCACTCACTTAATTGTCGCTCCATGGCCTAAAAAGCTTGCTCCATCCTCTTTACAGCTTTTTGAGAAGCTCAAGAGACTGACTTGTGGCACGTCTACCAAATAAAGTGTCAATAAAAGAGAGGTGTCGTCGTTGGGTAAATGTAGAAAAGTCTCCCCTGATTAAGCAATGGGCATAATGACTGTATGACATTGACACTTGAGCTGACATAACATCTCATTTGTGCTGACATTTTGATTTATGCACTTGGAGTGTCAAATTCCCCATTACTGTCATTAATACAGCCTGTCTTTTGTTAGTCTGTTTCTACACAAAAAGGTTATATGAAAGGAGGTTCATCCTGGGAGAAAATAAACCCTTTAATACCCCCCCCCCACTAAAACAGAGGTTCTAGGTTCTATTGAAAAAACCAGGGTTATTAAACGGGGGATACCCTCTTAACATTGGGACCTCTTTGGTTCAAAGTGCAAATTACCTCTTCATAAAAATTAGGACAAGACAAGTGCATTTTATTTCTTTAATACACCAGCATCAAGCTTAAGTACATGTATACAAAACTTCAAGATTCTGCAGATGACAATGTAATTTTAGAAAAATTAATATTGTTTGTCAATGATCAGAACTGCAGACTGCCCATGCACACATCATTATGCTGCCCAGACCACCAAAGTTCTCTTCCAGGCATAGAAAATTTCACAACTTAATTTTGTGACCAAAAAAATGGTAAAACAAAAAAGGCATAACTAATTTATCATTGGTGATCCCACTGTTCACGTTCTACTCTCTCTTTCCTGGTAAGTTCAATATAAGGACGTAGGTAAGATATGTCCTAGAAGAGAATAAATAGCATAGGTGACTAAATGAGAGATTCACCCATTCCAGAAAGAAGCAGTAAAAACACAAGTACATAAACTTCAAATCTCTCTTTAAGTAACAAGTACCTTGGGAAAAACGTTAAGTGGCTGTTATGGGAAGGGAGGTGTAAACATACAACATTTTGTTATTTAAAAGATGCTTATATAAGGTGTATAGCACATTAACACATAAAACAATCAAAATAAAAGTATAATAAATAAACAAGAAACAAATCCGTTGTATTGTGGAGAGGTTATTTTTGGCAGCTGGAACAACCTTAAGTGACTCTGGTTGTTCTACAGAGATTGGCCATTGTGGAGTGAGGGTGGCCATACGCATTTGTAGTTTAGGCCTCAGTTGTTCAAAAGGTGGATAACGAAAAAAACACTGCATAAATCACTATCCAGCGGATTAGGCAATCAGTTTCCCTAATACTTATTTGCTGGACAGTGATCATCCCCTGGATAGCACTATTGGATGTTTGAACAACCAGGGCCAGGAGTAAATTGTTGCTACAAGTAACAGGATATTCTCACATCATTTTTAAATGTTTCCACCGACACTATTGTCATAATTTTCCAATTTCTTACCCAGTAGTTATTAATTAACAGTCGGCTCCCGTTAACTCAAACCCTCACTAACTCAAACCTCCAAAATAAATTTCCCCTTGATTTCCTTCGTACATTTACTGTATTTTTCACTCAGTAACTCAAACCCTTGATAGCTCGAACCTCCCACTAACTCAAAGTAATTGTTGTTTCCCTTCAAATCAGTTCTATATAATTTTCCCCTGGATAACTAGAACCATGTTTTAAACGCGTGATAAGTTGGGAAAAAATTGTGTATTCTTTGTCTTACCGTAATGTTTTTCAGTCCAGCTCAAATATAACATTCATTCTCGATGGTTCGAGTTATCAGGAGTCGACTGTATTTTACTGTTTCCATTTTAAGAAAATATATTATTATTTGAATATAAAAATAATATCTTTTTTGAAGTCAATAAGCACAACACTTCTTCCATATTTGTTTTTGTTTTCCTAAAAAATTTGAAAAATTATCTCATTGATAGTCATTCTGTCACTTAAGTTTTATGTTTTCCGCACCCTCTACAATCAAGTAAGCCTTTGTAATGTAGCTTAAGGAAGCCTATTACCCGGTAATATAAGCTCCCAGCTTCTTTTGATTTCTTTGTCACACAACTTATATTTAAAACACCTCTTGTAACGTTCTATTTTATGTAATATGAGTGACTAAAAAACAAATAAATAAAACAAATAAAATAAATTATACATGCAATATATTTATACCTCATTAGGCTTTGTCCACTGGTCCTCTGGCAGAATAATATGCTTCATTGTCAAATCCATAGCTCTCTTTAAGCGGAAGTTTCTGAAATCCCGCTCCTCAGGGGGAAGACGTTTAATGGCCTCAACCACATCTGGGTGGTCATCCATTAACAAATCATCCTTGCGAAGCCCTAGAACATAAACCCGAAGAAGTAAAAATCTGAAGTGCTGATTGTTTTGTTGTCTTTTTCTTCATACAAGGGCCCAGATACTAAATGAACCGAGTAGTCAAACTCCAGAGCTCTGCTGATCAGAGCTCAGTGGTGCCTGGCGCCCATTTATTGCTCTCCGGCAACTAAAAGATCTCAGTTTTTTTCATACAAATCATATGCTGGGCACCCTAGATTTTACAAGGTCAAGGCACTGGGCTCCCTTCCTTACAGCACAGCCTTGGCTTCATTCAGTATTTGTTAGTTATTACAAAATAAATGTAGCCAAGCAAACTTTATTTTAAAAGGATGAGGCTTTGCATAACCAGTCACAAGTTAAATTCAGACGTCACTGAGGGAGTAATAACGACTAGAAGTAATCGGATGAAATTCAGGCTAATATGGATATTGAACAGAAATAAGCTTATTAAACTCACGTACACAGGTACCATGAAAAAACCATTTAACAAAACCTTAAGATGAACAGTTGTGTTATGCAGTTTACGTTCGCTAGAAGGGAACTTTTCCCCGCATTTATCTTAGAAACACATGCATACACGGCCGCCTGTGATATCACAGCAGTTTACCAAGTTTAAATATTATGCAACGAGCTAGAGCCGGTAAAATGACAAACATTTGATTCTAGCGATCACAGAATAATGTTCTTGAGAGTCAGATTGACTTACCAAGTTGTCTGTAACCACAAGCATAAATATACCAGTTGTGAAAAGCGGCTTTAACCTTCTGAGCAAACGACAACTGCCGTGCTACTTTTGGGGCGACAGAAGCCATGTTGGATTTTTGTCGGATGCACGGAACCCCATAATAATCTTTCAAGGTGGTCCTTCGGAAATATTCGTAAAATATCCGGAAAACCTTCGGAAGCACTCAAGCAGAACGGACAACCAATCAAAGAACGCCTTGCACTTGTCTGCTTTTTACGTAACAAATTTTCAGCAGCAAGTCATGGTGTAAGATCTTTCCATTTTTTGGCGTCTTTGCTGCTTCTGCCTGCATGTATTTTTCGAAATTTGCTACAGACTTGGTACCCTTATGAATCCTAACAAAAATGAGTGTAAGGATCTCAAAGGTGAAAGTTCAAAATCATCCGCAAGCTTTTGGGAGTATCATGGACTTGCAAGAGACGGGATAAATTTGCTCCTAAACAATGGCTTTGAAGAGTCACAAAAGCTTTTTCGAAGTCACAGGTTTGTTGTACTATAAAGTACTCTATTTGTTCTACATAATGCTCTTTACTGCATAACTTGTGAACATGTTCTTGGGCACAAGTTTTTCGTTTCAACAGTAGCAGGTACCTTTGTTTATTTTTGTCCATGCCTGTTTCACGATTTTACGTGAAAGAAACAAGTGACTTTTTTATGCACATTGTAAGATCTGTTTGTATCTTGAAACCTGTCACCCCTAGTGTGTTATTCAAGTAACCTCGGGTTCAACGTTTTCACAAATTAATTCAAAGTGAAATTGAATTTGAACATTCATGTCATCGCGAAAGATGATTTGGCCTAAATTAATGTTCGCCATGACGATTTAAGTTCCTTACCAAATATAAGCATATAAATGGTTTTATAACGCAAGTTATGATTACGTTGTCTGGGAGAGTGTAACCCTCGAGCGACACAACATTTTTTACTCTTATTCTTCTGATTGTTAATAGAATTTGTTTTACTTATCAACAATTTTGGTATTTAAAGACTAAACACTTTACCAGCGTGAAATTTCGTTATCTTTTTCGCGACCTAATCTTGTTAGCATCAAGGGCAGCGACCAAGGACGAATATTTTTCACCTTGAAACATAAAAAATTTATGAATTACGACCTTCTTCTATGCCTAAGTTTGCCAAGCCGAAGAAAGGCATTGATGTCATTTAGCTGAATGACTTAATTAGGGCAGACAAATATTGCAAGGCATCATTTTTAGACAGGAGCAATTGACATAAGTCTCTTTAGTGTGATATTTTTAAGTTGATTAAATTCATACTGAATAAGTACTTGCAAATTAATTGATGAATTGTTTGAATTTATATTAGGTGTTTTTTGCATAACATTTGAATTTGCTCTGCTAAGAGAGTTAACAAGGGCCTTTTTTCCAAACCTAGTGGTTGTTGTTGTTGTTCATATCTTTTTTTAGTTGCTGGGAGAACTAAAAAAATGCCAGGACTAATGCTGTATTTACACTTGCCTAGTCTGACAGCAAACAAAAAGTGTTTCACTGCAAAGACTCATTTACATCAGGCAGTTTACATTTTGTGTGAATTATGGTCAAAAGATATTTTTTCTGAGCATTATGACTGAAACCACCTTCTGACTGAGGTAGTTTTGATTTTAATCAGGCTAAACATACAAAAGATGGTAGCAAAAAGCTTAAAAACTGTTGTACCGCAATGAAACGTCATAGGCATAAAATTGTGGGCAGAAAACATTGGAAGTCATTGCTAAAATAATTAAAAACAATGGTTTCATGAGCTCCGGCTAGTTTTCATGATTCTGTTGTCATAAAACCACATTATTATAGAACCAGATATAAAGCATGTTTGATTAGACACATAATATTAACAATGTTGTTTCAACTTGTTTTAAGTATAGAAACGTGCTTCATGTTGTTTACCATAAACATGTTCTAGTGCCAATAAGAAAGCAGCTTTATTTATTAAACATAAACATCTCTGACTTAGTCAGCCATTTCTTTTGTCGTTACAACTCGTGTCAAGGATAAAATCTATTTTTAGTTGGTGTAGGTGTAGCTTCTGTTGTTTTAAGTGTCAAAACAGCATTATTTTCTGATAAGTTTTTAAAAAGTCAAGTTCACATAAAAAGTTTAACTAATATTGACATTTCATAAAACGTGCCAACTTATTCAGGGCTGTCACTAAAATTCCTCTTTGCAAGTTATACGCAATAAGTAAGGAGGGATTAATTAACAGAATTTAACATTCATATGTGCTTTCTTCATTCTTGTTTTCTATCAAAAGCCAAGGGTCATGCTCGTAGCAGCTGAGGGGAAATCCCCAAACTTTATAGTGACTCTCCTGCTTAGTTTTCACTGGCTTATATAGTGCTTTCCTTTGAGTTGATAAATATTAATTTTGCACATTTTGGTTGGCAAGCAGCCACATCATCTTGCAATATAGTCTAAAGTATGCAAATTAAGGTTTCTTCCGTTTATCTCACTGGATTTGCCCTAAAAATGTGTAATTTTAGTCCTTCAAATTCCCATCTGTTGTTAAACATGGGTATCTTGATGCCTTGAGACCTTTTGACCAGAGTTTCATAGATTGACAACCAGCATAAGAAGACAGGTTAACACGATTGTTTTTGTTACAAATTAGTTATTTTTATTTTTGTTTCTCTCAATCTCTCTTATTATTATTATTCCAAATAATCTAATATCAGTCTGCCATTTATTTGTTGAGCCTGTGGTATTGCATCAAGTTATCTCTTTACAACTTGGGAAATTATCGTAAAGTCCTGGTTAATATTGTTTAAGAAGTATTGTAATAAATGAGTGACACTGTAATTACAACTTATATGTTGTGCTGTGCAAGAAATATAATTTATTATTATTGCATTAAAAAGCATAAAGCAGTGTAAATATACTACAATCACTATGTTTATCAATGAAATTATTAATTTCATTACTTTTTAATATAGTAATGTTAATAGTAATAATAATAATAAGTATCTGTAGACTTGGTTCATGAATGCATTATGGGTGTGTAAGCGATTCAAACCATGATTGACACTAATTGTCATGTGTTCCCTGCTATGTCAGATTTTTTGGTGCCAACATAATATTAAAAATTTGGTGAATTCTAAAGATGGCTGACTTTCTATCTTGTTATAATTAAAAACTACAGGACACAGTCATTCACAAGAAGGATATTACTATCCACTGGTCTGGATATTTATTACTGTCCACTAGATAATGTGTTACTGGTTCCTAATAGTTATCCCCTAAATTATAGCGATTTATCTGGTGGAAACTGGGCTGTTCAGTTTTGAACAACTGAGGCCTGGTATAAGTGATCAAATTTATCTTAAAAAATAGACTGGCAGTTTTTGTATATTTCCAATATTGGATGTTTTATTTTTCTGTTTTACATAGTGATGGCAGCCCCCTTATGAGTGCTGGATCAGGCATGGTAGACTTTGTTGTAAGTGACAGAAGAGTTTTTTTTTCTTTTTTTTTATTGTGGGTTTCCTACATAAAGTATCGTGGAGTATTGATTTCTTCCAGGGAAACAGCAGAAAGAAAGGACTTGGCCAATATGCACGCTTCCTGACCTCCATAACCCATGTTTGTTTCTCCCTTCATCTAGCAAGCCATCCTGACCTTTGAAGATGACCAGCTAGACAGAGCTCTTGAAAATCTCAAGAGAGCACAGCGGGTTTGCTATGTAGAAAACACAGCCAGAAGGAGTATAGGAGTTGGACGGGATGAGGAGCTGATGAGGCAGATTTTGTATGCCGACTGTGAGCTCTACATGGCTCTTTTAACATTCCTTAAACAAGGTATACTAGAAAGCTTTTAACTCAAATTAAAAACAGCGCCGAAATCCTTGTTCTGGGCCTCCAACAAAGATGTTGGCACTACTTCACAGAAAGTACTAACCCAGGTTGAATTACATCAGCAGTTCAGGCTAGCAAATCATTGATCATGCAACTTGAATAATTGTAATGTCTGTTATGGTTACTTGCATGCAGGTATCACTGATTACATCAAGGGTGGCTATCTGATGCGACGAGCATGGAAACTCTATGACAAGTGCTACTGTGAAATCAGTACTGTTGGGGGGCCATTTCTTATGTGGGCCCCTGAACTAAGAGGAAAGGGCAATGGTGTTATGCAAGATGACTTGGATGAAGGGGTTGAAGAAGCTCTGGAGGATGTAAGATGCCCTGTTCCTTACCACGCTATCTCTCTAATGAAAAAGTTTTTTTACATTAAAGTAGTGTTATACTTTAATAAAAACAGCATATAATGGTTATCCGAGGTCATAGTAGAACATAATTTTATACTTAATATTTATTACTTACAATGACCCCAATAGATTCTTGTTATATTAAATTGATTATTTTGAGAGATCAAATATTGTTGGTCATAGTGTCACAAACCATTGATAAATTCAAATCTACTTTCCTACATGCATGCTGAGAGGTGAATGTTTGTTCACAACTTCTCAGTATTTGCTATTAAAGTTTGAAGATGTTTGCATCATATTCAAAAATCAAGTGGGGAAATTTTTCAAACAACTTTTAGGTTAAGTTCATACAAATAACACAAAATTCAGCACTGAAGCACACCCTTCAAACTCCACAGTATGGCCTGTACCTTACGCATGTGCACAGCCATATCACCTGGACAGTGGTACCCATACACATCTGTTTCACCTCATGTAGGCCTCATCACTGTGGCGTAGCCCCTTGCAAGAGGTCTCACTTGCAATCATTGACCCCCCCTCCCCCAACCATTTACTTCTAAGGTGAGTCCAAAAGCACCCCTTTACGTGCCAGCTCCACCGTAATGCAGTTGTACACATGTGCTAGCTGCTGGCTGGGATCCTTAAAACAGTTCTTGTCAAGCATATGGAGATGGGATCAGATGAACAGACCAGTATTTTCTCTCCTGTCATTGTAGTCAGTTGGAGTGGGTGTGGTGTCACCCCTGGACCCCGATGACATGGCATCTCCCCTGGATGATCTCACTATCAATGAGGAGAGTCCTGCAGGTGCTGCAATCAGTGCTGAAGCCCTCAAGCATCTACAGGCAGCTGTCTCCTGTGGTTATGGGTTATTTCATTTGGCAATATCACTAGTGCCGCCCAAGCTGCTGAAGTTTTGCCATCTTCTTGGTTTCTCGGGAAACAGAGATGTGGGAATCCAAGCACTGAACTTGGCCAGCCAGAGTGAGGACATGAAAGCCCCTGTGGCAAGGTGTTGTTAAGACTGATGATGCTATGATAATAAATAGTTATTACTGTAATTATTTTTTACTGGGCTAAAATGTAATGTATTTTAACACTAAGATACATGTATCTTTCCTATCTTTTTTTGTTTGGAAACCTCCAGTTTTGACTGCTTAATTAAGGATATGACCACTAAATAGAGTCTTGGTAAAGTTTGGTACATACTATTACCAAAATCCAACTAGAATTCACATAGTAAATGATTTTGTCAGAGCAACAATGACAACACAAAAAATATAAATAAAAACATCTAGAGTATGAAACTGTTGACTTATTTACTTATTCTCTATACCTCAGTCCCAAAAGGGAACCAGCTGTACTCCCCTGAAAGGGGTACCTTTTCTACCTCTGTAAAAGGACTGGCTAACAGAAAAAATTTAATGGCTGTGAAAAGTCTTTTTTATTCATGTTTTTTTATTTATGTCATATTTAAAGACAGTGTGTTTACAGCAGTTAAAGAAAGGGGTACCATTTTGTTCATGGAAGGTATACAAAAGAGGTTATTTTTCTGTCAAAAATGCTATGTAAAAGGGAAAGGGGTTCTACCTCAGGGCGGGGCCTCCGAGTATAATCCTTTGTTTAGTAACCCCTTGGGACCTCTATCTCTAATTTCACCATTTACATTAACATTTTTATGATTTTCATGATTCCAGGCTTACTCTTCTGTGGTATCATGCAGTTATTCGGCCATTTGTTGCTCTTGACGAAGGAAACAATGAAGAAGGTCTGTGTGTGTCTTGTGTCAACATGATACAATCACTTAGTTAGTAAATGTAACAGCTTACTTTGTTTCGATCTTGTTTTCCTCAGTACTATTTCCTGTCATTTACAGTGCTCACATTGCTCATGAGTGGCTCCAACTTAAACGTTCTGCAATAATATTAGGCTGGTATAGGATTTGATAGAGCTGTCAAAACCAAATTGCACATGTATTTTCGTGGAATTCTACTGATGAACAGTACTGTCACAACAAACATTTGCAGGGGCAACAATAGTATGTCCCGTTTCAAACATTATGTTTCTAAGGCAAACAGTGAATAAAAAACCCAGGGTTGTCATAAGTTTTCAATAGTGGCCCCGGCTAATGAGTATTTTATAGCTTTCCAAGCTCAACCCTGGAAAACCGCAGTGTCTGATCCACCCCTATATATCATTTTCAATCAAACAGGTTTAGTGGCTAAATTTTATAGCATTCTCTAAGTGTCAATATATATATCATTTTGAATCACAGGTTTAGCAAATGCAACTGCAATCTTAGAAGAATCCTACCAAGAGTACCCCAGCTCTGCTGTATTTCTCTTCTTCAAAGGACTTGTATCAAGGCTCAAGGTTTGTATTACTGCTTTGACCTAAAAGTTTTGCCTGAGTTTTGAAGGGGGAAGGCTAGGGAAAGAGGGAGAATATTGTATTCTCTGCACATGGCCTTATTCCCCCTTTTTTCCCCTTTTAACACCTGTACACCTCATTTGAGGTAATCCAAGACAGTCTTGGATCCTGGATTGTACGATGTGGATTCCAGTCTTATTCAGTGGAACTTGGATTCTGGATTCCAATCATTAGTGGGATTCCAGATTCATTGAGATGCATTCTGGATTCCAAAGCATAGGATTCTGGATTCCACTAGCAAAAATTTCCCAGATTCCAGAATCTAGATTCCCCTGCATCGGGTGAACCTGCCATGGAGGGTAGAGAGAGACATCAGCGAAATTGTATTCCAGTGGTGGATCCAGGGGAGCCCTCCCCTTATTTTTTTTTACCAAACTGAGGCCCGAAGGCCTGAAAAAAATTTTTTGGAGACTGCCCCCCCTTATCTAAGGGTCTGGATGACCATCCCCCTGCCCCCCTTATCTCAAGGTCTGGATCCGGCACTGGATTCAGTTAGTGTGTCATTTTAAGTTAAGATAAAAGAAAAAGTATATCGGAAATACACTTTTGTTGGTGAATTTAGCAAAACGTTGTGCAGTACTATGGAGATATGCTTAAAACCCAAGGAACTGTAAATTTGTATGTTAACATGACTGGTGGGTGGCGGTGGGCTGACTACTTTTTACACACTAGTAAGATCCCTGCAATGTTTGAATTGGCAATTTGTTAGTTTTGATTTTGAATATCCCTGTTTAAGCTCAAGGTAACATCAGGCCAGAAAACGTATCTCTGAGCATTGAAAGGGAAGATCACATTTTAATTTTGCCAAAATGTGTATATTTTACAAACATGATTCATGTTTTTTTGTTGTTGTTGTTCAATTTCATAGGGCCGCATAGGAGAAGCTCTGGATGAGTTTCACCAGGCCATGGGATTTGCAACAGAGCAGAAAGAAATAGCTCTAATTTGTCAATATGAAATAGGTATGTATATGTGCAAAGGTGTCTTTACGCTCACTTAGGGAGGGGTGTACCCATTTCCCTAGTCTGAATTGTGAAACTTTTTGTTTTATGTACTGCTTGGTGGTATTTTACCACTGTATTTCTGCTTCCCTTCTTTGCTGTCACAGTTTGAACCTATCTTTGTTTCATTTACCACTATATTGCATGTCTCTGTTTTAAAATCATGCCACTTGTTGAATTTTACCCTAACAGGGTGTCTTTATTGGTGGTGTGACCTTGTAATTTTTGAAGTTGCTGGCTGGATATTTTGGGATCATTATGCGTTTCTGGGAAACTGCTCATCTACCCCTCCCCTAAGCCAACATTAACACTTACTTCTGATTTGGGGCAAAATGTTGGCTTAGGGGAGGGGTAGGTGGGCAGTTTCCCAGAAACGTATAATAATCTGAATGTGCAAATAATGTTGCCTGACTGTTCTTGCATCATTTTCTCAACCAATCAGATGAAAAACTGAAGTTCAAACTTTTAAACTAAATAACTTTGAGCTACTAACTTTTTAAAGCCAGTTTCAGTAAAAAAAAAATCAGTTCGCTGGATCACTGTGCAGTTTTGGCATTGCGAAACTCAAGTGAAAATTAAACCCTTTCTTATTTTTACTCTTCCTTTAGGTTGGTGTCACATGCTACAATTGGAATGGGACTATGCCCTTCCTTCATTTTTTAAGTACGTCCAACATTAATTTGTTTTTGTTATGAGGTTTCCTTTACATCTGCTTATAGTCCTTCTTGAAGTGCTCCTCAGTGTTCTATCATTAATCTCTGTTTAGACAAAAAACGTTTTTGTACTGCTCAGGGCGCCTCAAAATTAACAAACCTTGAAAAATTGAACTTTATCTCAAAGGCATGATGTATCCATGTTTTTGTCCTTAACTCAAGTACTAATTCCTCTTAGCTTTAAGCAAGTTATTTAAGACATGTGCCTTTTAGAGGAAAGCCAACCTTGTCTTACTTGTGTCATGTCTATGTTACTTTGCAGATTAAAAGAAGAATCGAAATGGTCACAAAGTTATTATGCTTATCTCTGCGGAGGTGAGTTTTTTAGAACTGCTACAGGGTTTCAGCTAGCAGATTTCATGGGAACATTTAGAGGGGTTAGAGGTGTTAGTGTTATATTAGAGGGGTTACTGTTATACAAAGGTTTTTAAAAAGATGCTATAAGAGGCGTTATACGTCGGTTAATTACAACATATATGAACTTCTGGAGAAAAGTGACAGACGCCTTTTTTATAACCTCAAACGCGATGACCATCCATTAAATAGCTTGCTCCCAAGGTACAAAGACTGTATTGTAAACCTTCGCAGGAAATCCATTGTTAGGCCCAGCATTAACACTGAATGTTTCAAAGATAGCTTTTTTAATAGATTGATTTTTAAATATAATCTAGCTGTGTAAATACCCCATATGTATTGTTAATCAATTTAAATTTTTTTTTTTTTTTTTTTCCATCTTGATCATTGTAATTCTTTTTCTGTCAATATATATTGTAACATCAGATATGTAATTTTATCGGATGCTTTTTAATAAAGACGTTATTATTATTGATGACTTTGTTCAGGAAAATGAAAGGGGTCTTCAGTGCCAAAAGACATAGTAGCACCCTCGCAAGTTCGGAGTATTTTCAGTCACACATCGGTATTTTTTTTTCTGCTGGAGATTTAGCTGTTGTCAGTATCAGGGAGACTGTAATAGGCCTTGGTATTAGACTGTAATAGTAAGGTGTCCTCAAGGCGAGAATCAGCTCCATCATGCTGGCTATATACATGTATACAATCATGGTGCGGTTCCTGAAAAGATGGTTAAGTTTAATCCAGGACTGAGCCAAAAATTAAGCAAGGTTTTCTTGTCTAAGAACATGTTACTCGAGCTTACAAAATACTTTTGTGTCTTTACTCCGAGATTTAGTGATGATGGCATAGAATTTTACTCTAGATAATGCATAGGAAGGTAAATACAAAAATAGAACAAAATTTTTAATCCTGGATTAGCTCTAATCGGCCTTTCAGGAACCGGGGCCAGATGTGCAGGACTTTGGATGTGACCTTTAAGTAGTTGATGTTTAAAAGCCCTCAAAATTCTCAGTCTCAGGTTCTTGCGGTTTGACTTTGGATTTGGTCAATTAAGGAGCCTCTGTGATGAAGTGTAGTTTGCTTTTGCATTTGTATTCATTTTGTATTTGAATTTATTTAATCATGATATAGGATGAGACTGCCAGACAGTAATAAAAATGTGCTATTGAAACGGTGGAATTGAGCTAATAATCCTAATACCCAGGCTCTCTTGTCTCTTCTTTACAGTCACGATAGGTATTTTAGGTAGCACAACAGAGGCCCAGGAGCAATTCAAACAAGTTCCTAAATTTGTAAAAAAGAAAACTCCCCTAGAGCTGTTTCTCATGAGGAAGGTAAGTTGTCTGTAGATTTAGATGAAGAAAAACTGCTGTTTTTACTTAATGGAGCAACCCAGTTTCATTTCAGAACATTTTCCAGTATCTTAATTTTTATATGTTGGGTCTGTGTGTTTTCCTGATTTTTGTTTATCGGTATTTTTCATCACCGATTTAATCTATGGCATAAAATTAGTGCTGCTTATTTAAACGAGTAACCTCTTTAATCCAGAAGTGTATTCTAGTAAAGATGAGCTCGCGATTTACACTGTGAACGGATTATCGATCGAACACGGCCAAGCACATTAAATTCATCTTGTAATTCACTTATGAATACACATAAATAGAGACAAAAAGGGACCATCATTCTGTGTAAACTATGCGCTTTGGTAAAGGGGTTTTCTTCCTAGCGCCCTGCTTGCTCACAGTTATTCTCTGTATCAGTACATTCGAAGCTCTCGTAGGCGGACACCACCCTCGGGACGCAAAAAAGGTGCAAGTAACTGGAGCTGGCGGCCGCTTACGGGAACGTAGAAATACAGAGTTTGTATTAGCCTGCGAACAGCAGACGTTTCTCCTCGCCCATCGCCGCCGAGGGACGTTTCAATGCGCGAGGAGAAACGTCTGCCGTTCGCAGGCTACGTTTGTATGGGAGTGGAGAAAAACGGGGTTTTGTGAAGGCGGCCGTAACTAGAGCTGTCCTTTTACAAGAGCCGGACCGTTAGGAAAGCTTGCACTGTATTAATTTGCTCAGATCGTGCATAACAAATATAACTGAAGAAAATCCAGTCTGTTTTTTGTTTTTGTAGGCTGCACTGTACAAGAAATCTCCTCCATCAGAAGCCGATTGCCTACTACTGTCATTAGAACTTCTGTACGTGTGGCGCGCATTCTACACTTGCAGTGAACCTGTTTTAAATAGAATTATTTCTGGTGAGCCACTTTGCTTTGTACATGTCCGCATTATACATGTAGCTACCTTATTATAAGAAATTAAAGGGAATTTCAAAAATTCGCACAAATTTTACTCGCGTTAATTTCCGCGCCGTTAATTAAGAGAAGCGGTAATTTCCGCGACCTTAAATTCCATTATTTTGGCCCCAAATTCTCAATACACTTTAGACATTCTTGACACCTAAGAAAGACGAGTTCTTTATCAGTATGGAGATTTGCCAATATTAGAACATCTGTAAAGAACCTTCCAAGACCACCGCGGTCAAACGTCTAAATCGTTATTTTTGTTTTTTATTGCTGGGATTTCATTTACCAGTTAGAGAAAAATGGGCAAAGATGTAAAAATCAGTTAGTAAACATAACTATCTTTCCATTTTTCTCAAAATTTTGAGCTTTTTTCGCTGACAACGCTTCGCGCTAAAAGAGAATCATGTTTGAAAATGGCGCCGATGATAAAGTCAGCATCGGTTTTCAATCACTTAGAACTTTTTTAGTAAACTTTAAAAACGTTTAGTAAACTAACAGGATGTTGGTAATACCTTAAACTTTCGATAGTGAAAGTAGCAACCTTAACTTTGAAGTATTTCGCTTAACTTTTGCAAATTTCACTCGTTTGACCGCTGTGAACCCTCCAAGTGGCCAGATTTCGCTGGGAAACTGACCACCTACTCCTCCCCAAGCCAACATTTTGCCCTAAGTGAGAGGTAAGTGTTCATGTTACCTTAGGGAGGGGTAGGTGAGCAGTTTCCCAGAAACTTAAATTGATCCCAGATTTCTTCGCTTGACCCCCTTTTGTACGTTTAAGAAAAGAACCACGAATAAAGTGTCCATTCAGATCATACGTTTAACTTTGTTCCTGTTGTCTCAACAGGATTTGTTTCTTTGTGAACCGCGCTTTATTTTCCTTGATCTCTCTTTGGCGGTAAATTCTTTTATTCGAAAGTCGTTTTCTACTAAATTCGCGTTAATTTAAGTCGCGTTAATTTCGTATAATAATTAGGTAACTTTTGGAAGAAATTCTGCGGTGTTTCCATTTAATTTCAACTTTTTGGAAGAAATTCTCCTACTCAGCCCCCGTGTCGAGAGATTTCAATTAAAACGAGGTTGTTCTGGTACCTATTGCATTCTACGATTTTTTTCCTTAGGATTTTAGAAAATGAAATTTTATTCCTTTTGCGAATTTTCTCAGTGGCAAATATAAGAAGTCAATGGGTTTGCCGAGAGTTACGAACATCAATTTTCTACACAATCAAGGGAAAACGTTATGTGAATTTATAAAATGTTAACTGAATAGAAAATGCTTTGATCAGTTAATTCTCACAACCAATTCTTTTAGGAAGTGTATGGAGATAGGCTTGGAGAATTTGTATGTGTATATAAGGGTTTACATGTTCTGAGTTTAATCTTTCTAACCCTTGGTTTCTTTCCATTTTAGCACTAGAAGACTGTAAAGTTACCTCAAATCTTATTCCACTCAAGAGTCTTATACAAGGAGCGGCATGTCAAGCGCTCAGGAAAATGGACTTAGCTGTCCAAGTACGTAAATTAAGAAATATTTTCTTCTCCATACGAGCGAGTTAGCGGGAAGGACAGGGGCCTATAATGTTTAGTGTGCTTGGTTCGAGTTCAAGCCCTGGCTGGGTCCCCTGTGTTGGGTTACTGGGCAAGACACTTAATTCTCTCAGCGCCTCATTCCATCCAGCTGTATAAGTGGATACCAGCGAATGTGATGCTAGGGGTAGCCCTGTGATGGCCTGGCACCCCATCCAAGGAGGGAGTAGCAATATTCTTAGAGGGGTTCATTCTTCAGAAACCAGGGATAAACTCCGGCCTTAAGTGAGCCATTTGGCTGGAATGCAGATTTTAACCGTATTAAGGTAACCGCCTTATTTTACATTGCGCTCAATCTCATGTCTTCTCATTTCCTTAAAGCCTGCAGTTACTTTTGGACATTAGCGCAACCTACAAATTAGTTGGTTAAATCATATTTTACAAGATATAATAAAAAACTCATCCAATATGATATTCAAATATACTAATAGATAAATAATGATCTCGGGGTAACCCATCCACGACGTGTCGTCTATCATATTCCTGAATGAATACTAAGCACTGAATGCCGTTTTCCACAGTATTTCCAAGAAGCAGTTACCAAATCAGGTCGCTCTCCCCCAGACCCTCACGTTCCACCGTTTGCTTACTATGAACTTGGTGTTCTCTACGCCAAGGACGAAAAGGTGAGTCATGTTACCAGTAATTGTGCAGTTCTGGAACGTTTAGGTCACGTTCCTATCTATAAGAATCCACGGATCCCAGTCCGCTGTGGCCACCTGTGGCGGTGAAAGGGTTAAACAGCAACAAACGTTACAACAAAACTACCTATGCAAAGTTATATTAAACTTTGTGGTTGTTCAGTAGCCCAAGTACTATTTAACCATGCCAAATCTGGTGCTTTTACCCCTAAGTGCACAATTTTTTCACACTATGGCTTGACTATAACAACGAGGTGGTTGCTCCTGTGTATACACAATATGACTCACAAAAGAGAGTATCCACCCGAAACCTGACAAGAAAAGAGTGAACTGGAATTTAAGTTTGTAGTTCTTGGAGTAAAGATCGTCTCTTTTCCTTTCAGACGAGTGCCAAAGGAGAGGAGCTGCTAAGAAAAGTCAAGGTTTGTCTTGAAGTTTTTTCTTGAATTCTTAGAGACGTTTGAAATTGACTATCTTTTTTTCAACTGTTAGACCAGTAAGACTTTAAGAGGGCTTGGTTATTAATCACACGCATTCCATAGTTGCCTTACTTTCTATAGGCGATTTGCAATGGCGGTTTTTAGGGCGACAATGTTGCAACGTTGTTGCCCGAAAATCGTCGTTGCGAATCGTCGCGTCAACATCGCCTAATTGTATTGTTTCTTTTGCATTTATTAGAAGTGCACGTAGGTACCATGATTGGTCAGAGCGAAATCGTTATATTCTGATAAAGTGAGCGCGCTGCTCTATCGCACTCATCTACGTAACCAGTATAGGCGGTTACATTGGCATGGGTTATTTGTAAAGAAAAATTACAAAACGTATTTCTCGGGAACCGTTGAATTATTCCAGCACTTGAGGACTTTTTTCCCGAAATTGTGATGTTTTTCCCATATCAGTGAGTTAAGGCCATTCCTACTTTTTTTTCCTTTACAGGATAATTTTAGCGGGTACGACTTTGAAAACAGACTCAGTTTCCGAGTTCACGCGGCGCTGGCAAGAATTGAAGAAAGAAAAGCAAGTGGAACAATCCAAGGACCGGTAAAAGCCAAGTAATCAGGTGGAAACGACATAAGTGTTAGTGAAAATTCTCTTTTTCTGAGAGCGTGACTTGTAACGCAGCGGGTAACTAACGCATTTTAAACTTGGCCACATGGTACTGGATTTTTAGCCTGTGAACAGAAGCCCTCTCTCTCACCCCTCCCCCCATCATGGTGCGTACTCAAATCCTGATACACAGGTGGGGCCCAGAACGGCCTTTCCTGCGTCGCAGACGCTCTAAACCTTCTGTGTATAGCGGACTACACAAATGGTTTTGATGAGTGCGTGGCCTGGCTGCAACGCAGGCTGAGAACTTCCCAGTACAAAGATTTCGGCGCTTTTTCGCAGACGGACTTAAATTTAGTTTTGTCTATAGTCATCACTGAATACACTAGTAAGCATAAGTTCGTATTTAAATGGTAGAGGAACATGCATGAACACTGTAACAAGAACTCAAAATTAAGTTAACTACGGTAGTGATATTTTAATTTTGTGGTTAAAATGGTGGGCCAAGACGGGGGTTTCATTATCACATTATTTATAATTTATGTTTCTTTTGGAAAGTGTATTTTTTACATTGTTGTATAATTAGTATCGCTATTGTACAGAATTCGCTCCTTGGCCATAGTAAAGGGAGGCTTCAGCTTCTTCTCCTCTTTGACAAGTGTTCCTAAAGAGAAACTTTTATTTGACGATAAGTGAAGTCAACTCCATGTACATTGAACGCGATTTTGATTGCGCACAACTATCCGTTTTTACCAGCAACAAAACTCCCATGGCCCTCTATTTTCCCGGCTTCCGGTTGCGGTGCACGATGAGATGCGCCTGGTGTATATACCGAAGTGGAGGGCGAGGGGGGCTCCCATATGAAAGGTGCGGGGATGCTCGTCGTCTCGCTTATGGGTGTAAATTTCGGGTTTTGGTCTCAATTAGGGTGTTCATAGCAAAACACGAAGAAATATTTTAAAAAAAATTTTTCTTCAATTCGTTCTGTTTACTCGATTCATGTAATCATAGGTTAAAACGGTCTCTTTTAGGAGTCAAAAATAGGTTGCGCTACGCCCGGATTGGTCTCCTTTATTGGGTTAATTCCAAATTTCGGACGAGCATCCCTGCCCCTTTCATATGGGAGTCCCCACACTCCCCCCGAGCTGTATACCCTTCGGATGATCATGTTGCATGGCCTCTAAGACTCTGAGAGCATTGTTGTTACCTTGCAAACGAAAAGGGTTTTCCTCCCTTTACGGAATGGCGGGTGCAATAAGTACTTGTTTCCGCGAGGAGTTGGCCGTTATCCTGATAATATCACAAGGCTCCTCGACATACCTTTTATTTAAGAAGCGAAGTAATTTAATATTTGAATGTGTATAGTTTTATTCAAGGTATATTGTGTTAATTGTACAGCAAGATGATTTTATTTAAAAGAAATCCCGTAGCTTAGCGATAGAAAGTGATGGAGCGGTTTTCAATCGAGTGGCGTAAAACCAAATCCAAATCCAAGTCCAATCGCAACATGAGCTGGCAGTGAGGTTAACCAATCAGATGTCGAAACATGGCAGCAGACGCCAAGCACGGAACACTTAAAATGTGCGTACGTAAACGTGAGTAGCACGTGAGTGAGTCATAATAGGTCTCAATTTGACTTCTGGTTGGTGTCACAAATGGCGCCAGATTTTTTCGCCAATAACGAGACGTAACTTCCATTGGCCAGAAGTGCTCAAACAAGACAATTACGAAATTACTCGCGAAACTTGTTTGAGAATCGTTCCATTATCAACAAACTATGGGTGCATAAGTTTCGGCTTATTTACGCTCTTTTCCTGAGCCGCTTTTACACTAGCGACTGTCAATTCCTTGAGAAGAAACGTAATAAATCCATTTACACGAGCAAGTTTGCGAAATTGTTCTCTTGTTCTGACAAACTCACTCGTGGAAATAGGGCTGTAAAAATTAGGCGTTCAGCAATTATAGTTCGTTAGTTCCTAGTAGTTTATGAAAATTATTCCTCGGAAAATGCACCCTATTTATTCAAATACCTAAAACCTTGAATATATTTAGATGAAGTCGTTTTGTCGACTTTAAGGTTATTTAATGTCCTACCCAGTTCGTTTTTATTAGTTTAAAATGAACTGTACAATACAATGTATTATTTATTTTCTCTTGGAGCGTTTTAGCTTAATAGACATGTCAATTGCGTTATTTTGTTATTTCAATATTTGTATAGGTAATAGAATACTTTGGCATAAATAAGTTGCAAAATCATTTTCAAAATTAGGCGAGTGAAATTTGAAATTATAATTACAGGCAAAAGGTTTGTATTTTCACATGTATTTTCAAATTAAGCTACCACTGTTCCGAATTCCATTTTAAAATAAATTATAATTACAGGCAGATTAGTATTCGAATCTCTGTTCCGATTCCTTACAATTCTCACCTTTTTTATCAGTTTGTGTAAAATATGATGTTTTTGTTTTGCTGTTTCGAGGGTAAGTTTCGACAGTTAATTGTTTAGTGTTTTGTAAAAACCTGGTTTCTCGTGAAAAAACTACCGAAATCAAATATTTCGCCCTGATTCTAATTCTGATTCTAAGACGCTAATGCTATTGTACAATTGGCGATAGATGGGTTGTTTATTACGTCAGGAAGCGCGCGCCACTGCAATGCTGTGCGAAGTCTGAAAACCTTTAAACCAAGATGTGACGGATATAAAAGAGGATGTGTTGGTTTCTGAAAATGAGACTTGCGAGGTTAGTTTGAAATCTTTCTAAGACCGTTTTAATGCTTCATTGCCCATTACTCGGCGAGAAACAATTATACAGCTTTCAAACAACTATCACTGCAATTAAGGATTAACAGTTACCTACATTTGTTCTCAACCATCTATGAACATCCATTGTCTACTTCAAAGTGTCATAACTTGAGTTTACATTTACCTTTTTTTCTCGCCAAATTTGCTATCTGAACGGTCTACACAATCCCAATTCAGCAGCTAACCCTAGTAATATACGGATCAGTATAAGATGTTAGGAAACTGCCCACCCACCCCCTCCGTCAACCCAACGTCAACCTGTTTTTTTACTGGTTCCTTCTTAGGGCAAAATGTTGAATTCGGGGAGGGGTGCGTCGATAGTTTCGTTAAAATGTTATTCTACCTTGCTGCTTCGTTAGTCTCATCCGCCATGCCAGAGATCATGTTTATCTGAATTAGTCGGCTGAAAGTCTCTTTTATTTGAAGGGGGCGTGAGAAATTAATCTCTAAACGGCCTGAAAATCTAGTTAACAGATACACTAGAAATCCGTTGTGTGGAGAGACTTAGAAACAATAGAAATGAATTCAGAGAGTATTAAAATGTTCAAAACTCAAGTTGATCCAATACCCGCAATCCAGTAGTTTTAGTAGTTTTTTCAGTAGCTTATTGACTGGAGTAAATTTCCCATTCGGCATGACCAATCTGAAGCACTACCCAGAGCTGGGTATTGACACGTCATCAGCATGGAATTTCTGCGCTCTTATCTCGAACGTCAACCAGTGAATGAAGTTTCGAGCATCCTGTCGTATTTATATGATCTATATTTAACAATTATTCCACGAGTGCGCGTTAGATATGAGATGGCTATGTCGTCTCATATCCGACAAGCGCGAGTGGAATAATTGTTTTATTAAAAACGCCAACAAAATATCGAGAATTCTCCCCGACTTTATTTGTTAAAACAACCGATTTTCAGCTTGTTTTTAATTTTGAACAGACGCGTACAGTTACCATACCGTAAAATTCCGAAAATAAGCCCTGGGGCTTATATTTTTCAAAGGCCCTTTATTTTTGGAGGGGCTTAAAAATTTGCCAAAATTTTCAGCTTGTTTTTTAATTTTGCATTGTTTTAGCTTTGTATTTGACGCAAGTTATATTCGGAGGGGCGACTTAACGGAAGGTTTTTTGCGTTACGAGTTTGGGGGGCTTATATTTGGAGGGGCTTATACATGGAGGGGCTTATTTTCGGAATTTTACGGTATTTAATGGTACAATGGCTCATGTAACAGAGCTCTAGAATTGCATTATCCAATGATTCAGTTTTTTTAAATAAAAATGCTAAGACAAAGGAAAAAATTACGTCTATTTTTTTACAATAACATCTAACGTCTTTTTTGGGAAGTACCGGAAAAGGGGGCTGGGGAACTTAACAATCGACCAATGAGCGCGCAAGAAGAGATTGCAAAGCAGGCTGTAACTCTCGACCACCCCTGTTGAGTGAGATAACCCTTCGGGACGATATATAACTTCATCGCTCTGTTTTGTTCAATCAGGCAAAGGAGGGCCGCAGAGCAGACAGCCCTGGCTCTGAAAACCTCTATGCAGGAATCTTTCAACAAAATTTCGTCGTCTGTGTCAATGGTTATTGGAGGAAATAGTAAAGCGAAGCAACCAGGTCGCCCCCCTGGAAGAGGAACACCTGGACCGAGAGGGCCTGGAATCGGACGAGGAGGATCACGGGTATCACGGAGCGGAGGAATGGGGACTGGAAGAGGTTTTGGTAGACCCCCAGGGATGCCCCCTGGAGGACGTTCCTTTAGCTCAGGGGTAAACGCGCCGGGTATAAATCCAAAAGCAACACAACAGAAGCAAAAGCCCAGCACTGGGAAGACGAAACAGAAAACAAAAAAGCAAAAGAAAGGAAAAGGAAAGGATGCAAGCATGGTAGGTGCAAATTTTAGCCCGTTCCTGATCTAACGCAAAACTGTGTTCTGTTAATTTCCCTTTTTCGCAGTCCACATAAGCGAAGCCCGTGGCCAGCCTGCGATGAATCCCTTGGTTGCTCATGCGCTCTCGTGGCTCGCTTCGGTCGCTACACTCAAAGAAGAGACCTGGCACGCAAGTGAACCAAGCGCAGACGACAGGGAGCTTAAGCAACGATGACGCCGACGGCAATGAAAACGTCAATAATGCGATACTGTTTAAGCACGCTTCAAAAAAACATTGTACATTTCTTTGTTGTCGCCGCACGACTTCGACGCGAAAACTTCCTTATTTCATGTTTTGTGGGCCACGTGAGACAACAAGTTTCTTTCTCATCTCCTAAAATTCGATACAGTCTTTAAGAATTCAACTCCAGAAATACTTGCCAACACTGACGAATTGAACGAGATGGAATGGGCGCGATTAAGTTTTAAGCAGTGCATATTCTCTTTTCAAGTCACGTTTTCCTTCCTATTACCGTCGTTCATATTACTTAAGCTCCCTAATAGGACGACAAGGACGACGGCTGGCTCAGATCTCAGATCAAAACCGAACTGACCAATGGCAGAGAAGTAAATTCAGTACCGGAATGTGGGCTCAGTCCTTCCATTCTTGCTATTTAAGTCTGCTTGTGGAAGATAGAACTCCCCTACTTGCGATGTAATAATTCGTAGATCTGTGCGGCAATTCAGTTTCTTAGACTACCTAGGCACATAATATTTACGACATCGGAGAGAAATCATCCTTCTTCAAGAAGTTTTAAAGAAACTGTGCAACGTAGATATTCAAGCGAATGAGAAAGTTTATCAAAATATGCGTTGAAAAAGAAGAAAAAATCAGAACCTTAACCATCTGGATTTTCCTTCTTTTCCAACGCATATTTTAATAAACTTTGCAACTGACTTGTTCACGAAGTAAGCGCCTTTTTTACAGGCCCTGCCAGAGACAACAAGTACTGGTACATTACCAACCCTGTGCAGATTCTTCAAGAAGCCAGAGAGGCAAAAGGGAGTTAGTAAACCAAGTCAGCAGTTTAGAAGAAATTTTATGACAAAATCGTGGCAGGATGGCATTGCGGATCTCTCCATTCTTCATGATATCGCAGAAGAAGATGAAGATGAGAATTGACAATGTTGTGCAACTGTTATGTTAGTAGTGACATGACTAAATTACGAGTTGCCTGACACGATTTAAGATAGAAAAAACCGCATTCCTTTCCTTTTCATAAAGGCTACTTTGAGAAATGAATATGAAGTCATTGTGAAAGTTCACAGCCCAAGATGGTAGATTGTAACGACTTTTAAACATTTCTTTTGATCATTTATTGATAGAGTAAAGTAACACATTAAAGAATTTTGCCACGGTTTTTTGTTGATTTTATCAAAGATTACATGTAGAGTTTCTTACACTACGATAATTCTAACAAGCAGAGCAAACGAAATAGGTTTTTGCCGGTTATTACTATACATAAATGGTATGATATGGTATGAAAGTTTACGCAGCCACTTCCCCACAGACGAGTGAACCGGAGAGGGCCTAGAAACGAGCGGATGACGGTACATCGGAACTCGCCAAGGACGACTGGGAACAAGGCTAATTGGTATGATATGTTAAGAACATTGTTGCACCTTTTGTACCCGCAAAGTTTACCTAGTTCCCAGGCCTCAAGTTCTCTTCCGCGTGTTTAGTGCGTTTGACCCCGCGCGCCTGGGTTAAGCAACACAGAAGTGTCCAAATATGTTTCCCTGGAGTTCACAGAACTGAGAAAATGCATGACCTTCAACTTAACTTTTAAACTAGTGTACTTCAGGTATTTTGCACGCCTTCACTTGGTTCCAAAATACCTGTTTGATAAACTCGTACAATTTAATATCGGCCCAATTTGATCCCTTTATCTTCTCAATCATGTCTTCGCTCACAGACGTCTTTGTGTTCGTTGTTGCTTGGTTAAGTTTAAAACTCGGATCTGTAGGAATCACCGGCAGAAAACAGGGCAAACGCTTTTGTATAATCTTCAAAGTAAGATGAAAATGTTCAAGCAATCCTACTACAGCATAATGATTAACAATGTTAAGTTTAGCATTTTCGAGGGCTTTGGTTAGATTGTTCTTGCAGAAGAGTTCAGGGCCGCAAAAAAACCGCGTCATTACATTATGTTTACATCCCTGACCTTCCTTGTGAAAGCATTGTTCGATAGTGTCGTTCCATTCCCCACTGTCAATCATTTCTTGTACTCGCCCTGGCGGTCGATGTCGCTTATTGTGCATATAAGCGTAATGAGATATGAACCTAGCCACTGGTTCACGGACTTGGTTGATGTAAGTGTGTACTCGTGAAATTTTTAAATATTTTCTAAAGTAAAAATGAGAATTGAAAAACATTTGCTGGCGACTGCTAGTCGCTAGCTCTTCAATAGCCTCTGGATATGGCTCCTTTATTCCCTTGTCATAGAAATCCTCAGTAGTATCTACGAAAATACAAGCAGTAAAAATTCGTCAACATAACCTTCAACCTCCCTCAAAAATGAGAGGTGCCTCCCAAGGGGTCGTCCTCCTTTTCGAAATCGGATGAGAAACGCGAGTGACTGGTGATGAGCCGCAGCCAGTCTCGCCCGTTGTCTCCCTCCCAAGTTCGCGCACATTTTCATCCGTCTGGGTACAAGAGGGTGATATGAAAACGACTTAACACAGCACTTCGATATTAAGGCGCAAGGCTGTGAATTGCTTAAGGTACGATAAAACGGGCAACAAAAGCAACTCATACAACTCGTTTTGAAACATTGCTGCAGAAGGAGTTGAAAAGAGATGTTGCTCGTTATACCACCCACGTTCCAGCGGGTCTCTCAACAAATCAGGTTGTTTCAGGTTGCAAAAAGTTGTTGCAGAAAGTAGAGGGTAGTTTTACTTTTTGCAACAAGGTGCGCGTTTTACCGGCCCAGAGGCCCGTTTATCAAAAGTCCCGATTACTTTTCGGGCCCGAAATCAAACATTCAAATCTAAATTTAAAGAATTTTGCATCTTACGCAATAAAACTATCCATTTTGTTTCAAAACTGATAGTTTTATCACTTTAGGACCCAAAACTCTTATTCTTTACATTTCGATTTGAATATTTGATTTCGGGCCAGAAAAGTTACCGAGACTTTAGAGAAACGGACCCCAGGGCAAACAAGTGACGTAATTCCAGTGTATGGCGTGTATCCAGTCAGAAGTCAGTATTCACGCAAATTTCAACAAATCTGATTTGCTGCAAGACAGGTTTAAACGTGAGTGGTAAAACGCGTAATGTGGCTCCTCAACCTGTTTTGCAGCAACGTTTCGAAACAGGTTGCACATTTTTGTTGCACGTTTTACCGTGACCTTAAGCTGTTCTTAGCTTAAGAACGAAAGCAGCGATGCCTTCTGGCAGCTAATGCAGATCGCGCAGGAATAGCGAAATGTAAGCTTCTGCGATGCCAATGCTTTGCATGGAATCTTGCCTTCCCAGGGGCGTAACTTTCACATGCGCCCGGACTTCCTTGGCGATGGAGAAGCCACAAGGAATTTTCGCGTACGGAGCGATTCGCCTGCTAACATAGAGATTTAGAACCCATCCAAACGTATCCATGATCAGGGGGAGATGTTTTCCTCCGTTTTCAAAAATATACGCGTCCACCACAGGTAATGTATCTGAATCGTTTTGCCCGTTCAACTGAAATAAGATAGCATTCCTAACGGAGCATGCGTAATGTTAGTAATGTATGACATCATAAATGACATCATCGTATTCGAAAACTTCCGTTTTCGTATTCGTACGTCCACACGTAAACGAGAAGCCAGCGTTTTCAAAACTCTTCACTCTGGAGAGCGATTACAAGTGTGGACGGTAGGCCAAATCGAAGAAAAAATTTCCGTTTCAAAAAAATACGGAATTTGTACCACGTGATCAAGTTTTCTCTGTCCTGTCGTTGTCTACTGGTTATCAGATTCTTACAAAAAAAATTAGTAGATTCAAACCATTTTCATCCGATAAGAATTAGTTCGGACAGTTTTTATCTGATGATTATTGTCAACTGGCACCTGACGTTTACTGTTTGCCCTAAACCTGATTCTAAATTTCTCTAATCCCTTCGGTTACAACAGCTATGTTGGCTAATCTTATGAGAGTATTTAACCATTCAGGCCAACCTCGTACCCAGGGCGCTTTTCCCTGGCTTTCCAAGGCCAGTGAAAAGCGCCCTGGGGACGAGGTTGAATTCAGGCTTACATGAAGTTAACCCCCAGAGCAAAAACCCTGTCTTCCAGTACTTATCCCTTAGTTTTTTAAGCATAAGGCTTACGTCTGATATATCGGTAATTCTTCATTCCAGCTGCCAGTTTAAAGTGAAAGCTCAAGGTCTCGCTTCCTGTTTTGAATATACGGTTGTAGAGAATCAAACTGGCAGGAACTACTTCGCACAAAGCTGGTTGCAAATACTCCACCAAACCATTATGAGGTGCAAGCTGAAAACCTTGTACTGGTTGCAGCCGAATTAAATCACTTATTTCTAACTGGTCTGAAGAATCGTCAATACTTGACAAGGTATTTTTATGAGCCGTCTCTTGCAAACTCTTTGATTGGTGTCTAGTTAAATAAACCCAACCATATAAAAGGCAACATATCATGGCCACGTAAAACAAAAATCGTCTGCGAAACATCAGTCCAAGCTGAACCTTCACGATGAGTCGTTTTAACTCTGTAAAGGAAAGGTAAATAATGTCAGTTGCGGAAAGATATATAATCGAATAAAAAGACATTTTCCTGGTTTTATCTGGCCTGTACCTGCTCAAGAATACTATATGACAGTTCGTGATTCTTGCGCTGGCTCCCACCCATAAAAACTGCTGAAAAACTATCTCCACACATTTAGAATTTAACCTGCTAGCAAGCTCTTTGGGGCGCTCTGGCGGCGGAGCGGGAAAAAAAGATCGCCCAGGAGAGCCTTGCTCGCAGGCTATCAAAATTAGCCGGCTAAATCATTCACACGAAAACGAACGAATTTTCGAACGGCTGATAACTGACTTTTTCAGCACTCTAGTGAACGTAACTCAGTCCACCTCTGATAAAGGTTATCTGTGTGCTACTGATAAAGAAGGCTTCTCCACTGGTAAACGATGCTTTTTAGTGTCGTTTATTGATGGGGTCGGCGAGAAGGAGAGGAACTGCACCCAAAATCAGCCAAACTTACAAGGTTTATTTTACTTACTCGCAAGGCGGTTCTACATTCTTCTTGATATTCTTGTCTTTCTCTGTCTATCTATAACTGCTTACCGAACCTATTCCTTAGCCTGAGCAGCTCTCTATATTTATTTGCTTGCGTGGCTAAAATGTTTGCCTTCAAAAAAAGTAATGATTGAATTACAACTAAAAGCTTCCTACTCTTAAACTCTAGTGTCAACATAAAATTAATGAGTTTCCTAAGTTAAATTAATACTATGTCCATTTTAAGGATAAATGTGTTCCGAGGGACATCAAGTTTGGAGACAAGATGTCTCACTCTTAAAAAGCACACTGTTAATATTTATCTTTCTAAATGAAAAGCCTATTAGTAATTTGGTTATTCATCATGTTTCATCGTAGAGGTAAACACTTAGACTGTTATCGATCCGTTAAAAACCTATTGATCGGATATTTATCGAACTTTCATTAACCTTCTATATATCTTTAAAATCGGGAAGATTAGTCCTGTGACACGGCTAAAAACTTCGTGCGTTTAGGTGTTCCGTTCACCCTAAACTCCCTTAACCGTACTTCAGCGTTAAGCCGCCAAGTGCCAGCATTAAGCCTTCTAAATCCTCTCACGAAGGGCATCACATCGCATCTTCCAAATTTGGTCAACGCCGGCTGCTGCAGCTAGCTATTCACGTAGTACAAAACCGCCATGCTGGAGAGCAAAGTCGCATTGGGGCAAGACATGAGAAAGGAAATTACCATTTAAAATTTTGTATGCCTTCTGTTTGTCTTTTCCCAGTGCGACTTTTGCTCTCCAGCATGGCGGCTTTGTACCAAGTGAATGGCTAACTGCAAAGGGCCAATTAGCCGGGAATTAGCTGGGGAATTGAACCAGTCAGAAAAGGCGAAATACGGTATTTTGAATACATAAAAATATCAGTAATTGAATGACGCTGAATATTTGTCAAGAATTATGCTGAGAAGAGAATGTTACATGGTTGCCACAGCCAGAGGTTTCTGAAACTCCCTGACTTTTTACTGAAAATAAATGTAAAATTTCCCTGACCAACTGAATTAACAATTGCATAATTTGTCCTGATATTGGACTCAACGTTCCGCTCACAGCCATCCCCCTTACCCATTTATTTATTTATGCTTTCAGCAAATCACGTGCAGAAAAAGGATTGATTTTCTTGAAAACCCAATATCAGCTTGTTGTTCAATTTCATAAACAGTGATCAACAATATTCTACCAATTCAACGCGATTCATGTCCGTAAAATGTACAAATGTACTCTTGAAATTTCCCTTATTCCTGACTTCTTTCAAAGACTTTAATTTTCCCTGACTCGAAGTAAAATTTCCTGAGTTTTCCCTAACCTTGAAGAATATTTTTTTCCCATTTCCTGACCTATGGCAACCATGTCAGTTATACACCGCGAATTTATATTTAAACAAAAAACTTTTAATGTTACTGATGTTAGCTTATGTGCAAACACAACATGTCACACATAACATTGTGATTCATTTTCTCTTTGGAGATATTTGCAAGTATGCTCGTAAGCTAAGTTGACGGTAAGTTTTGAAAAGCCTGCCAACAAGCTCTTGGCTGAAAACGCTGAAACCATTTAGCAATTGGAAAGTGTTCAAGAAAAATTATCTTCCATGTTAAGCTCGCTTGGTTCGCAAAAGTAGTTTCTTTCTGTTTATAAACAAAAGTAAGAACTAACATACAAATCCAGGTCGTCGTGGCCGTTTCTGGGATCCTCCTTGACTTTGCTTTCCTCCCAACTTTGTATTTGCTACGCTATTTTCAAGCTTTGGAATTTCGCACAGCTCCTCGTTTTTCTTTCTTCTCCCTTGAGTATTCAGTCGATGATGTAAATAGTTGAAAATATTGAATGACTTACGGCTCAGGACGGCTAGTCCAGTCAGAGCGTACTCGCACGGGAAGAGGTTCCAAGACGCGGAGGAATGCAACAGTCACATTCATTGGGCTTAACAGTACCTTAATAGGCCATTTGCACGAATGGCGTCATTTTACTATTACGACCAGAATTCTTTTCGTTTTTTCTTTCACATTTAAATTTGGTATACCTAGCAAGGTTTAAATAACAAAAGCACTAATTTGCACAAGAAAGCAAAAACTCGAAGGATTCTGGTCGTAGTAGTAAAACGGTAAAATGACGCCATCAAGCAAATGACCTATTTAAATTCAAAACTTACTTTTTCTCATAGCTAAGATCAACTTAAGTCCTTTCTGTACCTCTGTCAGTTTTAGAGTTTGGACTTCTTGCTTCTGTCTCCCTCACATCCTTTTTTTCTTTTCCTCGACTTAGAAGTTCTGTTTCTATTTGCATGCTTGTGGAAAATACTGTTTGTCTTAATTATATTGCGTAGCCCATATCTTGTCTATTAACATATGATTATCTTCAAGTTGGAAGCTAAATCTTTTTCTCTAGAACAGTTTCAAAATTTGCAAAACAGCTCCCAACAACATGCAACAGGGTGTCCAAACGGACGCAACATGTAACATCCAACAATGTTATAAGCCATCTATGTATGTGTCTGAAAACGGGTGTGGATTTTGGGGCTTTAGAGGCCAGGTCTGTAAACGGGTGTGAAAAATTACATTTTTTTGGTCTGAAATAGGGTCAGGATTTGGAGAACCGGGCGGCACAACCCCACCAAGAATTACCCCGCACGGAGTGGAAAGGTTTCCTAATGCGTTCCTAAAAACGAAACGCTTAGTAAACATAGTAAAGTAAACCGTTAATAAAGTTTCTGAAGTTTAATGGCATTTAATGATTGACCATCAAAAACAGCTTTTGTGCGCTGGCCCTTGAGACCGATTTACTGGGTTTTTACTTGGTTTTATTGGGTTGCCTGTGTGGTACAGCCCTTGGTACCCGCGCCTTCTAAATTCAACATGGCCGCGTTTTGCGGCTTGTGTCTTACGAAAACGGTCCGGAATTTTTCACTCTTGTTTGGGAAAAACGTGGCGCTTGCATCGATTGCGGGAAGGAGAACGTATTTTCGTGCTCCAGGCAGTACGGATGAGGAAAGTTTTGATGAAATGTTTCGTAATTCTAACTTTGTGAAGTTAGGAAGACCTCAGGGAAAACTTGTGGCAGGGAGGATTACTCACATTGTGGAACGTGACGACGATAAGACAGATTTGTACGTAGATTTTGGATGGAAATTTCACGCGGTCTTTACCCGAGGTAAAGAGAAAGGAAGGTAAGTGTAGTAAATCTAGTAACTCTTTGACGATTTTCAGCACTCTTCATTTGAAAAAGTGCAAGCTAAATTTCACCGCCGATCCCTAATATTTATGAGTGTAACACTTTTTTTATCCCTTCAGAAATTTATTCTTGTTTTTCTGCCCTTCAAAAATTGACATTTTAGAAGATAATTCCCTTCAAAAGAACCTCTTTCCTAGTATTGACCCACTGAGAAAATTTCTCAGGCAACAATCTTCTGGGGGGTGGGGGGCTCTGAAGGTGTGTTACTCCAGGCCCAGACATTTTAAAATTTTGAAGCACTAAAATAGAATTCCCAGCATTTGGCATTCTGGGAACTAAACTGAGTAAATAAAGGAACTTTTCTTATCCACAGCAGCAATTTTTCTTTGTGTTTACAATATTGACCTGAAATGAGCTAAAATTGCAGTATGTATGCTAATATAAATTTTCAAGAAAACAATGAATATGAACAGAATCACTATCAGTAGTAGTACACAGCTGTATATCACGCGTATATCCAACTAGTGGTCTATTATCAATGCTGCGTTCTGATTGGGTGAGCTACTACTAGGCTATATGTTATAGCCCACTAGTAGCAAAGCCGGCTTTGAAAACCAAAACAATGGCAGCTGAATTGCGTTTTGCTAGCTAAAGTTGTTTTGTCTCAATATTTATGACCAACTAGTTGGATTTTACTAAAACAATTATTCCTCCTGCCCTCATTGCCTCTGAGTCAATAGCGCATTCGGCCTGCTATTGACTCAGAGCCCACTTGGGCTAGCCTGCGAAGCGCCAGACGCATTTCCGGTCGTCGCTTCCCTCCCTGTGTCTGGCGCTTCGCAGGCTAACTTGGGCTCGAGGAATAATTGTTAAAAATGTAGCTGTTAAAGTCACTATTTATGATAAATTCATGGTAATAAATTAAAGGGGTAAGTGAAATAAAGGTAATACTGTGTCTCCTCATCTATGACACATTATGCCCTTAAGTAATAAGCATATGAAAAGAAAATTGGAAGGAGAATTTATCAGCTAATCAAACATCACTCACAGACTTAATTCTAGGTACCACTTCAACTACTGTTAATATCATTATTATACCAAATTAGAAAATCACATTGATCAGAATTATCAACAAGGAAACAGGAAAAAAATTCTAAGTTCCACAAGGGATTTAAACCCACAACCCTAATATTTTGTCATTTGTTGTTATTTCAACAGCAGTGTGACTGTGTAATACAGTTCATATGTCCAAACCCACAGAAAAAAAACCCTGCCCACCCAATAGCTGTATGATAGGAACATCCAATTGTGAGGGCCTGTTGTGGTAAAATTCCAAGAAGCTACATAGGCTTGAAATAGCAAAACAAGGCTAAATGAAATGTCGACAAATGACATAATGATGGGTTAAATACTGACAGCAACATGGCCTACTCCTCAAAACATGAAATACCATAAAAAATTATCTGAAATTCAGACTTGGGACATAAGTACCCCCCACTCCCCCCGAAGAGGGCCTCACTTGTAGACTGGAGAGTTAGATGTTTCCAATCCCACCTGGAGCGTTTCTGAAACTTTCTGCTTTTTAAATTTGTCATTATTTACATTATCAAGCAGTAATAAAAATTATATTTTTATCAACCTGGGCATCATTAATAAACTCTTTTCATTTGTTTACAGTCACTACAAGGTTAATGATCTTGTCAAGATTAAGCTGAAGGCATTAGAGACCACAGGACACTTCTTAGGACAAAATAGGAGGGTGACATTGTGTGAAGCAGATGCCAATCTTGAAGGAAAGTTAAATCCTGATAGAACATACAGAGTGTTAGAAAGGGATTAGCCAAGTGAAGTGTTTTGTTAACTTCATGAAAACCAATCTGGAATTCTTCTTACTGGCTTGGTTCCATAATTGGGAAGAATTTTATGTTGCTATCCTTCTTTCCGGCGACCTGGATGAGCAGCCTATGTGTTTTGTTAAGTGTGCTGGTCGCAATATATCATTTATCTTAGAAATTACTTGGATTGAATACAGCAAGGACAAAAAATTCCAACTGGCATATTGCAAGCATTGCTCAGAAGATGAATATGGGACTGTCGCGAAACAACTGTGGTTAACCGTTAATAATAATCCATAAGAGTGACCAACATTCAATTTCTATGCTAACACTGCTCAATCAAGTACAGAGGACATGAGAAAGAGGGAAATTAACGATCAGCAAGTGAATTAATAGGTGGGGACTGGGGATTTCCCCTGACTACTATGAACATCGCCCTCCGCTACTTTCATAGAAAAATAGAACCAAAATAAATTCCTAGCTCTTTTATTTCCTGCCTACTTGTTGCATTTACCCAGCAACTTGAAATCTTAGTGACATCCCTGCGAAAAAGTTCTTGATCAGTAATCAAATTCTCCTTATTAGTATTATATACAATGTATAGAGAACAGTATGGAGAAGGTATTTTCTGAAAGTAAGGTTATTAAGCTTTAATACTGATACAGTAGAATCCCAATGACTCTAACTCCCCTGCTAACCCGAACCAAGTCCAGTTTCCCTTGGATTTCACCCCACTTGACAGTCATTTTTACTCAGTTAACTCAAACTCAGATAACTCGAATTTCCTGCTATTGAACTAACTTTCCTTTCCCTTGCTAGAAAAAACACTAAAAGTTACCCCAATAACTCAAAGTCTGGTTCTTGTGACTCCACTTGGATGCCATCCCATTAGCTCTTCTTGATGTACAAGGATAAAAACACTATAACTAACAATAAAGCCGGACTTAAGCTTTAAAAATATATTTGATGTTAATTGGTGAAACGAACAGATCATGTTTTTCATAAAACATGTTCTAATCATGTTACTGTTTCTGATGAAAGAAGTCAAATTTGCACTGCAACAGACACTGAAGTGCTGAAAAATCCAAACTATCATTCTTTTAATGTGGCAAATTGAATGTTTCGATCAACCCCGATAACTCGAACCCCTGCTAACTCGAACTGTATTTTGTGTCCCTTCAGAGTTTGAGTTATTAAACTGGGGTTCTACTGTATTTGACAACTGTTGGATGAGGTTGAACATAATACTGTGATTTTTCAGTGGCGAGCAAATCAAAAAGACTTAAAAATGTTATTATAATGTCTCATTTTCGCAGTAAAGATAAAGACAGATGACTCAAAGACAAACACTACCCACTATCTCGTTGACAGTGAAGGACTCATCTCACGGGCTTGTGATAGACTCACAGGCGTATGAGAAGAGTCATCTCAATTTCCTGTGCACTTTAACAACTGCTTTGTAAATAGCCTATGCTTTTAAAATAATTTGGCTTAGCAATAGAATTCTATAATAAGTTTGTTATTGTCAGTAATAAAGACAATTAAGGACAAACACCACACATATTTGCCTTGCTGACGGTAGAGGACTCTACTCACATGTACAGGCTTGTGAGCATAGTCATCTCAATTTCCTGTAGATTTAAACACTGAGCACTTTAAGAAATGCTTTGCAATAATAGACTTTGCTTTAAATATTTCTTCTTGGAAAGAATAATACAATGTATGTAACATGATTTTAATTTCCTTTTTCTTTTCTTCCGCATTCTGTTTTGTACTGTGTTCTTCATCAATATTGAACGAAGTTTATTGCTATTGTTATTATTATAGTAAATACTGGTAATATTTACAAATTCTGTATTCCATGTATAGTCCTTTTTCTTTAGATATAGAAAGATAGTATTCTGTAAAGGATAAAATAATGATTGAGTGGAACCCTGTTAACACAGCCACCAAATGCAACAGGCCATTATGCATTTGACCTTATTAACTGGTGGCACACCTTAGTTTCATAAAAAGGCTACTGTTAGGACTTTTAAATATTGATTTATTTTTCAATCAAGCAATCACTTTTCCTTGTAACTGAAGATGGTGTCTTATCAAGTCTGCACAGGACTGGTAGTTAAACCTTGTTGCTTCATCAAGTGGTGTGGAACCCCATCTGTATTAAATGATAACAGAATAAACAAATTCATTTGACACTGCAGTCTCCTAATACTGTGTAAGGTTTCTTTTTATCTAATGTGTAATTAAAAAATCTCAGAATTTTTTTCAAGCTGCTTGTTCCAGCTTGTTCAAATGAATGTGCTAGCTGATAACTAACAAATCAAAAGGTTGTCCTGATTTCCAAAATTTAACTGTCAGCTCTTTATTAGCTAACGAGAAGACATTCAGTACATTGTGTATAAAAATCATGCAGATCTCCTATGCATTATAAACTAATAAATTCCTTATTTCATATGAAAGCCAAATCCAAAATTAATATTGTTTAATAATTCATTCAAAATAATATTATTTCCACCTTCACTGAAACATACTGATACATTGATTGACATAAAGTTCCCATCATCGATCACAACTTGATAAATTCAGCATTATAACAAGGTATGTTTTCAAATCGCCGTTGTAATCTGTTAAGTGGTATTTTTGCTGTTCAGTTATTACAGTTCTGCTATTAATAGTTTTAGGCTGTGGTTTGGGTATTACTGTCATCAGTTCACGGCTCTGGTGAACTCATTACTCAGTTTTCTAACAATTCAACTTTATTGACACATTGAAATTTGGTTGCTCCATTTTCTCTTAAACATGGGTTACAAGCATTAAATAGATAGATTGATTCACTGAAAAGAAAAGTCAAATATCGCCATGAGGGATTCCCTAAGGGGGGACACACTTAGGGGACATGTTGCTATTGGGAACTGATTTAATTCATAACAGGTATTACTGCTTCAAAAAAAGTGTGAAATTTCCCCCCATTTTCTCCAGCTAACAAAGCTGAGCGAACCGAGCATAACTGTAAAAGTGACTCATATTTCTTCCAAATTTGATCAAAGGTTGCTGTTGTCATGACAATTTAGGCCAACAGAAACAGAGAAATATTTTGAGTGAATCATAATATTATTGCTGTTTTACAATGCATGCAATCCTTAATATTGACCAAGAATGGGCTAACCTTCAATGAGAATTTAGTTTACAAACATTAGTTACCTGTCTTTTAGATCAACTGGAACATTGCACTGCTCAAGCAGAAACCTGACCACTTTGTCATGACCTTGTAGCCCAAAAGGAGATAGATCAAAATGTAACATGTAAAAGCAGCTAAAACACAAAACCTACAGCTATGACAGGATACAGCAACATGTATTTCTTGTTGGTGATGGTGTTAAGCCAGGAAGGAACGTGAATCATTTTTAACAGAGCCTTAAAGAATTTTAATTTTTCAAGATGTAATTTTATCACGCACAATTTATTAAAATAAATAGATTACTTATTTTTATTATCAATGTACAGCTAGTGCCAAACCAATTAAAGGCAGGCTAACAAATGAAAAATAGGGGATTGAGGAAGCAAATTTTGTGGGTATCTGCCATCAAAGCCTGAAGTCAACTGGTTAATTATAGGTCATTTAATTATTTACTATTTTATTGTTATTTTTGCTGCATGTTGACCTGTGGTGGGATGCAAATCTAAAGAAAAATAATTATTATGAATTATTCTTGGTACTGTCTCATAATACAAAATAATTTTGAATCAAAAGACAATACTTAGGATATAAATATTATTGTACAGCCACTGCTGTTGTACAGTTTAATATTGATGGGTGTGGGGAAAATGCCTAAAAGAAGCTGCACGCGAGTGCAGACAGTAACCATGACAACCCTGTGAGTGGTAACCACGCACGATATGGATAGCAATTCCTTTTAACCTCGATAAGTTTCCTTTACCTTGAGCCGCTGCAACATGTAAAGCTGTCCGTCCATCATAATTCTGTTGTGTCATGTCCTTACCAGATAAATAATACCTGAAATATCGGAAGGTTTGATAATAAAATATTATAAACATTATGCAAGCCGAAGCCCAAGCATTAGTAAGAGTCTACAAGAATCAATGTTGACACAAGGGCAAACCCCAGAAAATTTAAGGAAAAAATAATTTTGATCACTATACACTAATTGCTTGCGATGAGGCCACAACAGTTAATTAAACAAGTTTATTTAGGGTCCCATGCTTGGCAATGCACTTGAGCTTGTATTGCTAGTGGGATTAATATTATGCTTACACATGGTTCTTACTAACACTGAGCTTACATTCCTGAACTTAGAATACAGTTTAAATTATCAGTTGTAAATTTAGTATACACACCTTCTTAAAGCTGTCACATCTCCATTGCTTGCTGCATAGAACAGGGAAACAACTTTTTCTCCCTTGTAAAAAAAAATGTTGCACCATTTGCTTTTGTAAATAGACTCTAATATTTGTCTTATATTTATCTATGTTGATAATAAATAACTATTATAAAAGTGCAAAGAGCTAATGTGACAGAAACAACTTTGGTCATGAATATAATGAAATGGAACCATGCCACCTGAACAGGCCTCTAAAACATCAATAAGTATTCACTCTCACCTGGACCTCTGCACGTTTCCAGCGAGGATCAATTTTTCTACCTGATATAACACCCTTCAAATCATACTTGTGAAAATTAAACACCTTTACAAGTTCCTGTCAAAGATATATAATAATAATTAGTTTTGGCCAAGAAAATAATTGGTGGCATAAATTCAGCACTGTTTTTGTTAGATTTAAACTCAAGACTAAACATTAACATTATATTTGATTCATTGTATTTTGGTCATGAAATACTAACCATTAATTATTTTTAAATTACCTTACAAAATTGCATTCCTCTGACACTGTTACCTAGTGGATCAAGTGGAGGTGACCAGATCATCATGCCACACACTTTGGGTACTACAATCAAAATAGCACCGCTTACTCCTGATTTGGCTGGTAAGCCCACCTGCATAAGTACAAAGAAAGTACCAGCAGCTTAGTTTTGAATATAAGGTCTTAGAGGGGCTTTGTCATTGCTAGTCACTATTTTTTTAAAGGCTAAAAATGTCTTTGCACCAATTCAATCCCCCCCAAAAATGGTCCTGGTTCAGTGTGTAAGACTACATTTGGGCATTAAAACTGTTTCATGTCGATCTGTTTCTATGGATGATGAGAGAAGATAAGATAAGAGCTTTATTTTAAGTGGCACATACTCTTAGCTATGTGGGTTTAAGTTAAAAAAGAAAACTTCACCAGCTAATTCACAGGTATACCACTGTAAATGAAACATTATAAGTTCCTTGAAACATGATTAAAACAATGCTGAAAAACTATTTACAATTAAAATGAAGTTATATACATAAAATATTATTAAAAAACTACATACAAAATTGATTAAAAAGGTGATTCATTGATACTAAAATAATGACTCATTTTCTAACAGTTTTTTGAACGTTTTAAAATCAGACGATGCTCTTATGACATCGGGCAAGCTGTTCCAGATCTTGGGTGCCTGATACTGCCAGGAATTGAGCCCAAAGCATGTTATGTTAACCTTTGGTACTTTTAATGTCCTTTCCTCTCAAGGCATATGTTGTTTTTCATAATGATATTAACTCATTCAATCTCTCCGGGTTTGTTTTACTATTTATGGGTTTATAAAGTAACTGAACAGAGAATTTTATATCAAGAATAGGCAATGATATATAGCGAGGATAGACATGGATTGAAGCCTGACAAAATTGGGCCAACACATCACCAAAATTTATTAGGGATAGTGCTCCCTGATGAAATTTCTTTGATATCCTCTTCGTAACAAACTCTACAGGAGAATTTTGTGAATGGGTAAAGGCACTATAGTAAGACCTTAGCACAAAATTGACCAAAAACAGCAATTTCCTCGTGACACAGCCCCTTTCAATTAACCCTGTCTAAAAGTCTTAAGAGTGTCCACAATCAATTTTCTCCTTTACTGAATTATCAATACATAATCAAGAGAAATATTAATGGTTATGAGAATTAACAAAATCATCTCCAAAGGAAAAAATGGTTTGATTTTTTAAAAAAAATTCTCCACCTAATTCTTTATGGAATTGTATAGAGATTGGTCTGGAGAATTTGTGTGTCATACACTGCTGGGGTGTAAAGGGTTAATGTGGGGTTAATATAAAGCTACTGTTTGCATGGTCCAAAGATCAGAAAGTCCAACATCTATTTTTTTTTTCTTACAATATCAACACATAATTAAGAGAAAACGATGTGAAAATGAGTAAAATAGCAACCAAAGGGAAAAATGCTTACAACTGATATTTTAACAAATTAAGAAATGTCGGGGGATCAGTTGGAGAAATATTTATAACAATAACAACAACAATAGCAACAATAATAATGATGATGATATCCTTACGTGAAAAGCAAACTGTCCTGAGTAATCATACATTCCACAAGAGTGCATTAAAGACAAAGTGTGTTGAACAGTTCTTGAACTGAACACCTAAAGAGTTATAAAAGATACAGTAATTTGTCACCCTTTCATTCCCAATAATTGCCAAAGTAAAAAACTAGTAACAAAAATTTAAAATGCTTTTGTAAAAATCATTAGAATTGATTATTTACTATCCAAAAGTCCCACCAGCAGTATTATTTGAATGGTAACACTGTAGCATTTTGTTCATGCTCGTGGCGTCACTGAGCTATTAAACTAATGCAAGATCACTAAAGAAAAGTTGTAAAAAATGTAACTGTTGTAAGCGTCATTCATGCTTATTTTACACCCTAGTATATGGAATACTTTAATTAGCATGTCAAAGGATCAGTGATTCCTTAAGAAATAATGTAAGCAACAAAATTTGCAACTTGCTTTCATCTTTTTTTCTCAATAGAATATGAGGCGACTTGCTTTTAGGCAAACGTCATAAATAAATAAAATATTGTTGCCATTATTATGGGGTGACCTTTTGACCAGTCAGTGGACAAATTCCTCCATTTGCCAAAGTTGCAGCCATAACACTCCCAGCATCACAGTTTGTCTCTATTGAACAAGTCTAAAAAGTAGGATATGAGATACTTCAGTGAAAAATCTCAAAAGAGAGAAGCAGGCCACGAGGGGTACTGCCTTATATGGGCCAATAAATAGGTATGTCATGCAGTGAAGGGCATGGTTTTCAAACAGTTTAGTCTGAGATAGGGTTCAGAAATCGGAGAGCTTCGGTCTAGAAAAGGTTATCATTTTCTAGGAAACAAACAAAAAAATTGATGGTTGAATATTTTAGCCAAAACTAGCCAGAGAAACCAGGAACTGACACTCAAAAAAATGACATTGGCAAATTTAAATAATTTTACAAACTGAAAGTGCAACTCCAACTCGTCGGTTTATACAGTATGTAGCAAGAAAGTGTTGAGCTCAGTGGTTTCTGAAACTGCAAAGAGGGTGAATGGGATTTGAAGAATTTAGTTTTATAGGGAAGCAAAATTCAGCTGAACTACAATCAGGGACAAAATTAGTTGACACACTTGTTTAAAACAGGTGCTTTTAACAAACATTTAATTCATTTATTATTTCATTCCTTTTAAACGCCGTAAATCCCCCGAACCCCCGAATCAATGTTGTCTGAAGTAAAAAAAAGACTTGAGGGTCCAAAATTCAACATTGATTTTGGGGGGAAGGGGTTGGGGTAGACAGGGGAAGGGGATAAGTATATCCACTATGCAAAAAGGGGCCATTTTATGGAAGTGTGTCAACACTTTTGTCCCTCATTGTCTGAATGCAAAATTGTGCTACTGCACACAAGTTGAGCCGTGTATAACACTGATTTTAACTGAAATTAAAGGAATCAATGACATGATTATGTTATTGGTGGTGGGGGTGACATAGACTCATTCACGGCCGAATTATAGGGCCAATTCGAATTACGCGATGACGTAATAAAAGGGCTGCGATATCCAGAATTAACGTCGATATGGTTTACAAGCTAAAAACGGACGCTGAAACTCGCGCCTATGTACAACTTTTGATGAATTTCAAGGGGGTACGTACTGAAAATATTTTTAATAAAGTGGATATTTCTCGTTCTTCACTTTATCCTATTGTTAAGGCCCAAACGATCACGGATAGGGTAAGGATTGACACGTAGTGGAGATAGTCACTGGCCGGCCACGGAAATATGGAGCGTTAGTGAGGAGCGGCCGTCACTGCGTTCAATATCGAAACTACGGAAAAGTGAAGGTAAATTCATGGCCAATTCAATAAAAAACTAAGGACAGTGTTGCAAACATTGCAAGTGTACACGAAAACAATTACTTTCAATCCTACCTAGTGACACCCTGTGTGACATGATAACGCAACGCAAATAGCGTGACATAAGCGCATATGTCTGTGTATTTTGACTGCATTTCTCAAGCGAAACCCTGTGTTTTTGTGTATTGTCGGCAGACAAAATGAAAAGAGAGCTTTGAAACGTGAACTGGTATTTGACTCTCAAAGAAAACGACAGCTAAAACTGAGGAAAACACTGCTTCCTTCGTGTTACAACGGTTAACCACATTTCGGCAAACGGAAAGTAACATTAGTCTGTTATGACCTCTTAATGTCGATATGTATTCTCGTGGTTAACCGTTGAAACTTCTTATTTGCACCACATCGCTGGAATTTTTCTCGCCAAGAATACGTATTGCGAAGCACTTTCTGCATAGCGGAATCTTCTTTTGCCTTTTGTCAGGAATTAGCGCATTAAAAAGGAAAATTTTCCAGCGCATGGCCGTCCTCGATCACGTGTTATCCCGCTTCGCTTGTCATCAGGTGAACTTCTGGGCCAAAGTCAATGCTGTTTTGGCGATGATACAAACTGGTGTGTCTATTTTGAAAACAATTTCTTTGGAATTATGTGATTTACGAGCTGGGAAATGAAATAGTTGTCCGTCCAACATCAATAAACAATCATGCCACTGAATAAATGGCAGGCGGTCATGTAAAATCATTACAAAAGTACATTCCTAACCTCGACACCTACCTACGCTAAAGGTTTGGATCAGTTAGGTTACAAAAGGTCTAAAAAAAACACATCTATATATAGGGCACAGCACAAACATCTGGCCCATCATTTATGAGGTTCATAACCTGTATATTGTTCACGTCCTTTCACTAATGGCAAAGGTCAATGTCAAAAATATTGCATGTCCCCTCTGTTACTCTGCTGTACTTCATTCGCTTAAGTTAACCATTTATCTGAACAATTTTCATTGTACCTTAATGTTTCCATCCTTTTTCCACTATTAATAATACTTGTGAAAACATTACATCCGCAGCAATGGCATTGATCACAACACAAATCATTTCGTCTCGACCCGACAGGGTATCAGGAACGCGCGCTGGGGTACAAGATTAAGTAATGACATACGCTTCGTACATTTTACTCTACGTATACTACAAATCAGGATGAAACTCTAAAAATTGATGTTTAAAAACAAACAATTTGGCCCATAGAGTAACGTCATCGCACAAAAATTCAGCAGTGTCAAAAATCTAGCTGGAAAACACAGATACGTATTTCAGACAATCAGGGACAAAAGTAGTTGACACACTTGTTTAAAACGGGTGCTTTTAACAAACATTTAATTCATTTATTATTTCATTCCTTTTAAACGCCGTAAATCCCCCGAACCCCCGAATCAATGTTGTCTGAAGTAAAAAAAAGACTTGAGGGTCCAAAATTCAACATTGATTTTGGGGGGAAGGGGTTGGGGTAGACAGGGGAAGGGGATAAGTATATCCACTATGCAAAAAGGGGCCATTTTACGGAAGTGTGTCAACACTTTTGTCCCTCATTGTAGGTATGGTATAGGAAGGTTGTGGGGTTCTAGTAGCCCATCCCCACCAAAAATTTGTAAAGTACATGTACCTCACCCCACCTCCACCCCCTGGAAGCAGGAGACAGATCATGAATGAATGGCCCTTTAAATAACCTTCTTATCACTGACAACCCGATACAGGCTAAAAATGTAAAAACTCTCAAGCCCTGGCTATTAGATACCCTCTTTAGGGACACATCTCCACTCAAATTAAAGTATAGTAAATTTATAAATATCATAATAGTTAACATGTAACTAGTTAATTTCAACGAATTTTTGACATCAAAATGTAATGACTCACGTGAAAGTAAAGTTCAAAAGTCTCCTTCAGATTTGTATTTGGTGGAAAAGCCTGTTACAAGGATGAACAGAATAAGTGTATTATACCACATATCAACTGCGAAACTTTAAGTGCCTTAAGGTTGAGCTTTTCAGTGCAGTGAACTGCAAAAAAGCTATGCATGCACAGTACAAACTTATAAAATATTTAAATTTCACCTTATGAGCATTCATGTAATAGCCCAGGGCATAGTTTCTATCCGCAGTTTCTCGTTCAGAAAGGAAGCTGAAATCAAGAAGTTATTTTTTAAAAAATTCAGTATTGGCTGTCAGGTACTTACAAGTAGGCTGCTATACTCTAGCTCTCAGACAAAACGTGGTGTATTGTAATTTCAAAAGATGATTTCCACTACAGGCAGAGCCACACAGAGTCAGAATTATTATAAGTGCCGAGCATTGTGAAATATTTATAAAACAGACTGTGAAAACAGGAGTGATCTGATTCTACTTGGCTCTGTTGCTTACAATATTATTAAGTGAAAGATAATCTGGAAGTTGGAGTTGCAAGCAAAAGTAGACGAACTAAACCAGTCACAATGTGAAGGGAATTTAGGCTAATGTAAGTAGACTTCTGCCTCATGCAAGCTTCTAACATGATTCCCACAATCTAGTTTTCACCCCTAAAATTATTATTTTCTATTTTAAACGAAAGAGACATTTGTGGCTTTAGAAGCAAACAGGAACATTTTGATACTATGTTCTGTCACTGTGACCCTGATTCTGGTACATTTCTCCCAATAATGGCCTTAATATGGGAGGCTCCGCCTGAAAGGGGAACCTTTTCAGGCTTCAGGCACTTGAAAGTGTTGGGGGGGGGGGGATCTCATCATGAAAGAGCTAGGGAAATCTGACATTTCAGTCTGTAAAAAGTTGCGAAAACATTCTGGTTTGTGATTTCTTCAGATTTTAAAACTGTGAAAGTGAATTTACAGCAGTTGAAAGCTAAGGGATGCAAAGCTGTAATCTAGGTTTGCAAAGGGGGCAACATTCATCGATAATTATAGAATGTATACGAAGGAGTCAAAAATGTTTTTTAATATGGTAAGGGATTGGACCTCTGGGCAAGCCTTACCATATAAAACTTTGTTCAGTACTCCCCCACACCCCGGCTTGTGATCATGCAGTGATCTAGAAATTATAACTAAATTGGCATCAACAAACTCACGTAGCATTACTAAATCCAACATATTCTCCTCCAGCTGTCTGTTTAAATTTGTTCTGAACCTGCAAAAGAAATTTTCAAAGAATTAAAAACTTTTAGTTGCTCGGTTACCTGTAATATCAATTTAATTTAAAGCAAAATAATTACATATTCATAATACTTACATAATCACATCTGTCTGCTAACGGCCATTCAGGCTGCAAGTATAAGAATTTTTTTGGAGGTACAAGAGGTTGTGAGGTCAACATCAGAACTTAATTTGGGCTATGTTAAAAGAATCTTTAGTACATCAACATGCTAAAAGTAAAATTAATATGATATCCATTAGTTTGGTTTTAAAGTTCTGTGGTCTCTGCTTTTCTGTTTTCCTTTTGTTTTCTTTAACCTTTTAAGCCCCACGATCCACATACAAATTCTCCAGACTGACCTCCATACATTTCTTTCAAGAATAGTTGAGAGAATTTGATTTGAGATCAAAGCATTTTCCCTTTGGGAATCAATTTAGTAATTCTCATAACCTTTTCTCTTGCCAATGTATGGATATTGTTAGGAGAAAATTGATGTTGATCACTCTTAGGACCTAAAGGGTTAAAACTACTGTAGCTGGGGGTCAAGCTCATAACAGCCATTGGAAATCGCAAGTCCTTGGCCCTTAGCGACAAAAACCCTGTCATTGCTTTCAAAAAAGATCGAGTGAATAGCGAACTTAAGCAAAGACATTTTTGAGCAACACATGTTAACCAGAAGTGCATGGGCTTTTTGCATCCTTGGGCAGCAGTTTTACCTAAATTTTCAGCAAATCTTCTTTATAAAAGAAAGGACACTTAGCAGTAAAATTTTGGTAGCATTTAATATAGGCATGTTAAACAAGAAAAGGCTTCACTTCTGGTCGATGTACGTCGCTCAATAATGTCTTTGCTCAAGTTCCCTAATCTTTCACATTGACAATGTCAATAGAAGCCTGAGAAAATATGTTGACATTTTGTGATGCCACCACGGGTTTTCCCGCAAAATGACGTCTTAGAAACAAGTACAGAAATCCCATACCAACGATGAATTCCTACCCAGATCTGGGTAGCGCTTCTGGTTGGCTGAAGCACATTCCCCATGTGGCACAACCAATCAGAAACACTACCTAGATCTGGGTAGTGATGCAACATCATTATGGAATTTCTTCGCTCCTCAGATCTCATTACGCCGGGGGACCAAGGGTGGCTTCACGAAATGTTGGCTGCTTTCTCAATCAGCACAGAATGAGTTACCACTTGTAGATGCATCTTTGTGTTCCAATAGGTTTACCCTGTGGTTCTCTACCCTTCTCTTTTTGTAAAGGCCAATTTTTCCGAGTTCCTTAAGGTTTTATCAGGGAGTTACTACAAGGGCGACTACCAAGTAGTTTTCCAGTCTAGATTTGTCATGAGCTCTTCTTATCTACACTGCTGATATAGGTTGATTTAAATCAGTTTATTTAAATCAGTTTATATTTTATTTATTTATTTATATATTTAATACATACAATAATACCTATAAAATACCTTTTGAAGTGCACACAGAAGAAGGGCGCCAGAATTTAACATTGGATTGTGAGGGCGATCTGCAACAGGAATTTTAAACCAGGGGACTCTTTTAATTTTTCACATACACTATTATTTGTCGACAAATATTAAAATTTTAATATTGAAGCAAATGCTACCAAAGTGGAGAACCAAAGGTAATGATAATAATAACCTTTGTTCAGTTTATTAAAAGGATATAAAAGGCAACAAGGTTACAGATTAAATTCTGAAGAATGATACAAAACTAAGAATGAGGAATTAAAAAAAGTAATCAAAAACCCTGTTTAAATGAAATTCATAAATCCAATCATATATTCATGTGCTAGGTTATAATAATATGCACAGCCTATTATTTTACAAAGCAGTTCTTAAAATAAAAGCACTTAGGGTTAACTAGGGGAAGTTGAGATGATAAATAATGATGTAACTTATTATTACAGTCAACTCTCTCTAAGACGGACACCTTTGGGACCGGCACTAAGTGTCCATCGTAGAGAGATGCCCGTCTTATAGAGAGTCAAATAAAAGGAGTAAAGAAAGGCAGGGACCAACTCTAAGTTAGTATCTGTTTTACAGAGGTGTCCGTCTTATAGAGGGGTCTGGTAAGAGATAGTCGAATTATAAACTAACCATTATTATTCAAGTGTAAGTAGTTGAATGTTTGCCCACTTGGCTCAAGTCCAACATATTTGTGAACCTGTTAGAGGAAACAAGAAGCATGAGAAATTCAGATAGATAGCCTGATGTTTATAAAACTTTGAGGTTAAAAGTAATAATATTAAAGAAACTGAAAAATGTTTTTAGAAGTGGCAGGAGTCTATCACTTCAATCCTCAGGCCAAATTATAAGGCAGGATGATTTGTCATATCCTTTTAAATCTGAGGACAAAATTCTGTGGTGTTATGGAACACACTCCTTACCCACACTTGACTCTTTGGAATTTTAAGGAACTTTTTACACTGGCTATTACTAAGAAAGAAAGTTTTAGACCTAGTAGCTTTACCTGACAACTTACTTTGGCCATTGGGTGACAAACAAATAAGTTTAATTTGCATAAAACTTTGCAGGGACCATGGTCATTTCATGTTATCACAGGCTGGGTAATTTCCGGAGGTTTTGAGCTACCTACAGTTTTTGTTATCACACAACATTAGTAAATAACAGTCAAACCTCTGTGTGTGAACACCTTTCATAAATGACCACCCCCTATAAGCAACCACTCATTCAAAATGCCAAAATTTTCCCAGACAACCTTTTGTAAAAAAACACTGTGACCACTTCTTTAGCATAATGGTTTTAACCTCTTCTAAGCGAACACCTGATACAATGGTCTGATCGTTGTGTTTGCTGTACGTACCACACTACTCAGAGTATGAGAGTATGAAAAGAACTTGTAAAAACAACATACATTTACAAGTTAGGTTTTTCTGGAAAACTGCCCATCTACCCCTCCCCAAAGCTAACGTTAACACTTTATTTTTTAATACTTCTTACTTTGGGTAAAATGTTAGCTTAGGGAAGGGGTAGGTGGGCAGTCTCCTTGAAACCTAGCTAAATTGATCCAAAAATTGCACGTAATATATTCTCTCAAAAAATAGATGTGTCTGGACTTCTCCTCATTAAAAACCTCCTGCATTTTGACCCTCGTAGGTGACCACCCCCTTACACAACCACTAACTCTTGGCATTTTCGGCCACAGATTACAGGAGGTTTAACTGTCACTCATCTTTAGTTCATTACTCTTTTCCCTGATTCTCCTCATACTTACTTCTTTTGTGGTCAGGTCCTCTAAAACAATAGGATAATGAAGGCATTTGGATACAGACTGAAGGCAGAAGTGATCCTTGTAGTCTCCAATAGCAAATCTGGCAATGAATGTAGTGTCGCAAAGATTGTATGAGGATGGTTTTTAATCATGTTAAAATTTAAAAGCAACTGCCAGAGGAGTTAAACATTCCGCATGAAGGGATTAGTTTTAAAAGAAACTGTGGGGCTAGCACTGTGTTGGGGGTTGGCGGGAGTGAAATTTAAAAAAAAAAATCATCAATCGTGAACTGATGAAGTCAAGTTTCTGCCAACCAACATCTTTTTATGATGGGAAAGTGGCACTATAATATACCAACTCATGATCAGGCATGGCTTTGAACAAAACTAATAACATGGCCATATCTAAAGTTAGTAAGAAAGAAAATGACAGTAAGAAAATATTATTTTTTTCAAATTTCTGGTTCTTTTTTTAGCAATTTCTTTAAGAATTTTTTAACATTCTAAAAGTAATGCAAATGAGCAGGAAGAAGATATTTTCCTCATTAGCATTAAATTCTGATCAGAACATTTAAAAGGCAACATTTGAACCAGGCCTTGCTTACCTCTGCCCATCAACAGAACAAACTGCCACGCCCCACAGATTAGGGTCAAACTTTGCCAGTTGAGGAATGTAATCAGCCACCTTGAAATAGAAAGATAATAAAGACAAAATATAAAAGCTTTAAAATATAAATGAATACTTTCAGCTGAACAGTCATTCTCTCTAAAACGGATACCGCAAGGACCAGCTTCAACGTTACTGTCTTACTAGAGAAGTTTCTGGTCTGGCTTATAGAGGGTCAAGGTGACGTGACACCAGTGAGAATTATGCTGCATCCATTCGCAACGAATACATGCCTGTTTGATTTATGCAAGACAGTTTAAACTGGAGCATTGTAACCAAAAAGTGGAATTATTTTCTTAGTGAGCAATCAAACAATCAATGCAAGTGAACATTCACGGCTTCATGATCTAACAGCGTGGCAGTACACACTCTGAGAACTGAAAAGACTACAAAATATTTAAAATTTTGCAACTACTGTCATCTAGAGCACCCACGTTTCTATTTTGAGGTATTTTTCTCTGCATACAGTACTTCTCAAGTATCTGTTGTCGGTTTCAAAAGCGTCCATTGTTGGTTTCAAAAGTGTCCATTGTCGGTTTTGTAGAGAGAAAAGTTACCATAAAATAGCTGAAAAACAGCATGGACCAGGGCCGAGTTGTTCAAAGCTGGGTTAAGATGACCCAGGGTTAGTGTGAGATTTTAATTCAGGTTTGAAAGCTTAAAAAGCATTTTAGTTTTAATTCTTTTTGTCTACAGGTTGATAATTGGAAGCTCTAAAAATAACAGAGAAAATTATCCGACAAAATGCTTTAGAACACAAGAAAAAGAAACCCAGGTTAGGCGCTTAGATCGGCCTTCGAACAACTGGGCCCAGCACTACATGTAGGTGTCCATCTTTGAGTGGTGTATGCTAGTTATGAGAGAGTTGACTGTAGCTATTATTTTAACAGCTATGGCACACCCTGGGCTGTAGCTAGGTTTTTTGTAATGGGGGGGCATTATCGTGAGCACCAAAAAGCAAGAACCTCGTAGAGGGGTCCGGGGGTATCCTCCCCAAGAAAGTTTTCAAATTTGGAAGCTCCAAAATGCTATTTTCAGCACTTGTCATGAGATATGTCTCCGAAAAATCGACCTCAAATGTGAAAATGGCAAACAATAAATTGCAAGTCTCTATAATCAAAATAACTGAGTCTAGCGAAAACAACTCCATCCACAGACTTGATGTGTCTGGCTTAACAGGTCCGGGGGGGCCCCTTGCTCCCTTGCTAGCTATGGCTCTGACACCCAGCTGATCAGTTCACTTGGGATACATGTACTTACAGAGATTCAATGGCCACTGAAAATTTGGCACTTGGGATAAAATTGTATAATGTAGGAAAAAATCAGGGCGTCTTACAGAAAAGTGAGAAAGGATCTTTCAAAGCAAAAAATCACCCTTTTCAGTGTCACTGTAATGTTCAGCATGGAGAAAAAAAGGCACTGAAAGTCACATAATTTTATTTCTTTTCTATATTTGTCTCTTGCCCATAATACAGCTCGACAAATATCTTAAGTAGGTTTTCAATCATGATAAGATCAGTCTTTTTCATGTTCAGATCTAGTCAGATCCCAGCTTGGACAGTAGAAAGACAGTACATGTCTTGTTCGTAAGTTGTAAAGCAAGCCAAAGTGCTTGTCTTGCTTTCCTCTGTCATTCTCACTTTCTTGTTGTTGTCTATTATAAAATTAAAAGATTGGCCTGTAGTTGTCTCTCTCTGTGAGTGAAGTTTTCCATATCTCTTATTGCAGAGAGTGCATATATACGTCTGCCTGTTGCTTGTGTGATAGTGGGAAATATACATTTTAACTTTCACCTGATCATTCATACCAACCTTCCCTCCAGCATTTTCTTTACAGTGGTGATATATTTCCTCTAAATGCTTCGTGAATTGACCAAACTCTGGAATCACAAAATCCCCATGAAGGGCACCCTCAATAAGCATTAGATTTTCCTGAATGGATCTGAAATTTTGATACATCACCAATCCTGAGTTATTACATTATTAACAAAAAAAGACTAACTTTCACTTTACTGTGATCTTACAAGACACTGAGAACATTACTTTCAAGTAAATTGTTATTTTTATACTGAATGTGGCAATTAATTAATTGTAAACCTAAGCGTTTAATTTTTGTATTTTCACCTTCGCAGTCAATGCTATGAGCACTCAGGTTCAAGACTGACTGCCCGTTGCCAGATTTAGCTTACTACAGGCAATGATGTCGATAAAAGATTAAAGAAGGATATGCTTCTTTCACCAAGGATTGAGCAAACTTAAATTTCCATAATTATCTCTAGAGCAGGATAGTGATGTTTCTTCAGTTACATCCTTTGGTTGTTTTCTTGGCTGTGTCAAAACAATGCATTTTACCTTCTGAATGTCTCTTTGTCAACATATCCTTCAAAATTCTCTTGCTGTAAATACTGTTCAAATTTGCTCATTGTCTCCTTCAGTCTTGGATCCCTCACTCTCAAACCAGTTTCTTTTAAAGCCTAAATATAATATTCATTTATCTTAAATTCATGGATGAAAGCTTTTCTCAGATTTTTTTCAAAGCACCAGAAATTATTTGGATTATTAATTTTAATATACCAATAGACTCCAGAGAAGTTACTGTGATTTTCAAAAACATGCAAACTCTGAAATTCAAAGGCCACCTTTACAAAATGAACGCATTTTTTGCTACCATCAATCACAGTAGAATAAAAATACAATTTGAATCAATGAACCCTGAAACAGAGAAACACACAAAAATGGATTTAGGTCCACCAATCACAAATCATTGAAGCAAACTTCTGTTTCCTAAGGTGATAGACGGCACCAAAAACCGCAACTGTCAGTTGGCTTTTGAACTTCAGAATTCATGTGTTTTTTAAAAGTGCGGTAACTTTGCTTTAATAAAGTTTTGCACATGAGGCCCTCTGTAATGAAGAGAGTGTCTACCAGCTTCAGATTTAAACACGTTGGTATACAGGTTGATCTAGCACCAACTTTGCTTTTGTTGAAAGATTTAGAATTTGATCTCTGGCAATCAAGCCACAGTACATGATATTAATATTTACTATTCTGCCAATAGACAACCTTCACAACCAACCAGACCTCCAAACAATTAAAATGTGGCCGCACTGCATACTTACATACTTAGAATGATTATCACTGATAACTGATTAACAATTTTGATTTTTCCCTTACTGCAATAAATCTGGCCACTGGTACTTTGCCATCTTCATTCTTGAAAACATGGTATATTGCATCTCTTTGTGATTCACTGTCAAAACAATATATACAGTCAAAGCTCTTATAAGCGACCACCTCATAAAATCAAAAAAGTGGTCGTAACTAGAGCTGGTTGCTTACAAGAATGAGCTCAACTCCTAACAACCCTACACGTTGCAACCATTTTAGTCGGCATGGTGCCTAAAATTTTGAAGCTGACAACTTGATTTAGAAAAAAGTCTCCCTAAAAAACCAAAAGAATTGGTCGCCATTTTGCAAAGGCAAACACTTTAACTTGGAGGTTTGTCCTAAGTGACTGCATGGTAAACAATAGAGGGTTGTCAATTAAAGAAATAATGTTTAAATTAATGAGTGTCTCTATACAAATTGAAGAGGTGTTCATGTTGGCGATAGGCTCTGTGAGTGGTCTTTGCCATGCAAGCAGAATGGTCGCTATGGAAATGACCGTAAACTTTTACAAATACAACACAGCACTGTACAAGATATTAATCAACAAACCATTATAGTGCAGTGTGCAGTTTCATTGATTTATATGAATTCTTAAAAGACTGAGTGGTTGCTTATGAGAGCTTAAAAACAAAGGAAAAGTCTGGCTGGGTAATCCCAATCAGTGGTCGCGGGCACTTTTTTTACAAAGTTTGAGTCACAGTTCAAACGGGATTTCATAAAGGTATTCTTTAAAGCTGGTTGCTTATGATAGTGGTCACAAGGAGAGTTTCAACTGTATTGCAAATGATGGGATCTTTAGACTTTCGATATTTATATTAACTACAATGAATTGAGCAATAGGCCATTAATTGCACTAAGAGGTTATGTGACATCGTTTTTATGAAAATGAAAGTTATATGATTTTTCCTTCGGAAAACGATTAGAGGGTCATCCCTTAAACAAAATAATGGTGATTTGGTTTTTCAAACCCGCACCATTTTCTTAAAATAAGTAAGTTCGTATCTGGTCACGTGACCAAAATGTGATTTTTAAAATCATGAATTACCTCTTTCTGAACACAAATTTTTCACTTAAACTTCAAGAAAAATGTTGAAAAGATGATGTGGTAACGTTTACAGCTTATCTGAGCGTAACTATCAAATGTTTAACAAGATATAAGCAAAAACTAGGTTTGGACGCCATGTTGGAGGGCAAGTCAGTATGCCCTCCAACATGGCGGCCAATACAAATCATACTAAATTGTTGAAAAATCAAAGTGCTATAAAATATCTTCCTTAAATGCATTTCCTCTCAAATTTCGGGTGTAACATAATTTTTATGTGCTCTGTCCATTTTTGGCATCAGCAAGACTCCAACTCATTGTTTAAACGAAGCATTGGTCATGTGACCTCTCAGGGCAAGTGGCCTATTACGCGTTTTGCATCAGGGAAAGAACAGTTCCTTCTATAAAAGCTGATACGCCATAAAAATGGAATGAACAATTTTATTGAAATGAACTAACCTCTTTAAGACAGCTTTCTGAGACTTAAGATATTTTGGTAGTGATTAGTAGAATACAGTGAATCCTCTATTAAGCAGACCCCCAATTAAGCGAACAAGGCTCTAGTAAGCGGACATTAAGCAAGGTCCCAAAATTAACATCTTATATTTCCCTTTATAATGAACCCCTGTTCAGCGGACACCTCTATTTAGTTGGTGCGGATACTAAAAGAACTTGTATTTGGCTAATTCCTATTGCTAATTCCTTTTTTTTGTTGAAAATCTCTGTTAAGCAGACACAGGACTGAATTGACAATAGTAGTATTAGATTACGTCCTTGAAATACGCACTGTAGTCGATTAATAAAGATAAAGCAATACATTTAGCTGTCAAAAGTTCACCCAAAATTCTTGCACAAAGTACAGCACAGATTCCTTAGCTCCCTTAACAATATGAAACTTTATCACAGTACAGAGTAACTGTTGAAGATTAATCGTTAACAAACATTGCGCGATTTTCACAAACCTCTATCAAGTGAACACTCTCTAATAAGTGGAC